GTTCTAAAATTAATATCTAATTTTTAGGAATTAATACAACAAACAGCACCATTTTTTATGAATATTCTATTGTTTATGATTTTCTTTATTTTTTGTCTTTAAAAAATATAATAAAATAAAAACGATGTCAAAAAATAATGAAATTTTGCAGACACGATCCTTACAATTTTCTAGGTATTTCATAAAAAAATGTCCTAAAAAAATGACAAAAAAGTAAAACGCTGTCAAAAAGCCCCCGGCTCGCGTAGTGGGGCGCCCAGGGGCCAGCTCAAGGGCTGGGATGGGTCAAAATTTTACTTTTTTACTTATGTTTTGTATTCTAAAATTAGTACATGATTTTTAGGAATTAATGCAACAAACGGCACCATTTTTTGATGAATATTCCTTTTTTATTATTTTCTTCATTTTTCGTCTTTAAAAAATAACGTCAAAAAATAATGAAATTTTGCAGACACGATCCTTACATTTTTCTATGCATGTCAGAAAAAAATGGCCTCAAAAAATGACAAAAAAGTAAAATGCTATCAAAAAGCTCCCGGCCCGCGTAATGGGGCGCCTTGGGGCCAAGTCAAGAGCCGGGATAAGTCAAAAATTTACATTTTTATTTATGTTTTGCATTCTAAAATTAATATATGATTTTTAAGAATTAATGTAACAAGCAGTACCAATTTTGAACAGATTCTACTTTTTGGACGGTTGGAGTTATATATTTTCTTTTAGAAAGAACAGCGTGTAACTAAACAACTAATTGTTACGTTACAATTATTTATTTATATAGTTGAATGGCCAATTTTCTTAATGACATTTGTGAATTTCTTGTAATTTTATGTTAGTAACCAACCTTTTTTTCGTCATTAATTAACATAAATAACTTCATGGTATAGCGTGTTAATACTATTCATAGACAAATAACGAGTTATGCAAAAAAAAAAAAAAAGAGTCAGGACCTTTGTATCAAAAAAGAATATGTTTTTGGGGACCTCAGATGCAAAAATACCTTAACATATAGACATGTCATAACATTTAACGGGGAAAAAAGAAGCGCTGACTAACAGTGCAAACATAATAAGAGTTTGGAGACCTGACTATAAATTCTTAAAATGAATACTTAGAGTTTGTTTAGTTTGATAATTTGAGTTAAAATATGATTTTATATAAGAGTTTTTTATTATAGTAAAAAAATTAGATGTAATTATTTTATAGAGTTTTTTACTATAATAAATTTAAATTTTAAACTTAAATTGGTAAAATAAACAGAGTCTGAAATGCCAATAATTGTAAAATTTGGGGACTTGTGGTGCAAATTTTCCTAACACTATTATCTGGGAATCACCGCCATATATGTCGGTGACATACAGACATACAGACATGTTAGTATTTTTTTTTGGACATACCAAAACTACCCTCCTTCTTTGGCCAATTTATGTCGCAAGCCATAAATTTTCAAAACGTTTTTTTTTTAATACTTTTTTATAATAGCTTTGTGCTTAAATAACAGGTTCTAATTTTAATACGTGGATATATATTAATGCCATTACGAACAAAAGGATGTTCCAACTATTCAACTTACATATGCTGGTTGTTGATAATCGACACTAATACTATTTATAAGACAAATTTTTGTAGTTTCTTTATGGTTTTTTTTTTTTCCTTTTAATAGAGCTTAAGTAAAAAGTTCTAAGTAAATAATAATTTTATATATGGTTATCAGTAAATGTCTTTACCGATAAATAGTTAATATAGATATCATGCGCCTCTTTGAAAGCTTTATAAATTTTTCTCGATTTTTCTAATACTCAAGAAAAATATTTAGAGAGGTTATCAATGGTTTTTTTTAATACTGATATTATTAGTGTTAAACACTACTATTAATACAAAATGAGTCCTATTTTTCAATACCATATTATAAAACCCTATAATACAAAATCAGTACTAATGTTGCTTTATAGCACTGATCAAAACTCAAACATACATAAATATATCTAAAGTTAATACGGTTTGAGTTCACACCAAAGTTGGAATTTTAACAATAGATGACATAGAGATTCTCCATTACTAATAAAAATTTGGGGAATAAAAACCACTTGACTTTGAGGCCGTGGGTTCATAATGTTAAAAGGTTTTTTTTTCCTCAAAAAATGAATGCTTTATGCTAACTTTCAACCTCATAATAATATATTATTAATTAAAAACGGATAATGGTAACAATAGTAAATAAATGAAAAGGCCATCCTTCCGAGGACCCAAAAAAAAAGTAAAATATTCTGTCAGAAAAAAAGTAAAATGAAATAAAAAATAAAAAATTGATGTTCTTTGTGCACTTCTGGACTCTGAGCCAGTGTAAGAAGTCAACGCCCCACTAGTTAATGTTGGTTGTGTCATTTAGTGGGCCATTTTTCTGTATTTTTCCTGTTTTAATATTCCGCGTGAATGCTCATTGACTACCTCGGCTTCTGCGGGAGAACTGCTATCATGCGCCGCACTCACATCTGACGCTGATAATGTTACTACATGGGCTTCTTCATGTTGTTACCATGCACCCTTCCATTCTATTTCTATTTATCATTTTTTTTTTGACAATGGGAATTGCATTTCGAATCAGAAAATTACAATCACTAATTTAGACGTGAAAGACCCAAGTGCAACTAGCAACTCAACCCCGACCACAGAGGTTTGATTGAAACGATTAAGAGGGTAACACATGTACGGAGTTCCAACAAAAAGAAACCAAAGAGTTTTCACCTAATCGAGTACAAATTGGCTCTTTCAAACACAGCACAAACGCTACAAAATGCCGATCGGTCAAGATCGAGAGACCAAGAGCACTAAGGCCTAACACAACGCTGCATAGACACGTGATAAGCGGATAAAATAAAATGATAACGCCGAAAGGTGAGGAGACCACCTTCGTTATTACAACAAAAACTCAATAGAGCACCCTAAATACCCTACTAAACGACGAAGACACCACCACTTTTATTTCACAAACACATATTTTAAAACACAAAAGTACCCAAATGACACTAATGGACTCTCCACGAAATCGCTAACCACCACCAAGAGTGGGCCGGGGGACTGCAGCATACCGATTGCCCCGAAAAGAAGCCGAAAAGGAGTCAAGCAATCGCCGCCACCAAACGCCATCGACAAAGGAACAAGCCACACAAATGGAGCCGACACCCCATTTAGCCTAAAGCCCCCGCTGCTTAAGGGAGAACCGAAACACAGACGAATAACTGACACTCCCATCCGCCCCCAAGCTACGACCACACCACTCCATCCACCATCCTTGACCGCTGAAACGCAAAACAAACCCCCTTGAGAGAGCTAGACATTGAGTATACCTAATCATAACCACTCCGCTGCACCAGAATACCCAACACCGGTATCCAGAAGCCCACCAAAAAAAACCTTCACAAAGCCTGTCTGTCCCTCCCATAACTTGGCGTATTCGGAGCATCACCGAAAAAGTACCACTCGCAGCATATGAGCACCTTCCTGTGGGACCAGGAGTTTGGAGCACCGCCCGAAGGCGGCGCCAAATTTCAGCCCTTTCATGCCCACTTCTTAGACGGCACAAGGAAGTAATCAGATGAAAAGATAAAACCCTAACAGAGGGAGAGAGAAAAATATTGTTAAGACCAATGCTCTATTTATTTTTATTTATCATTATTAATTTATTTTCATTTTAACAATAATTTTTTTTATTCATCTTACACCTTACGTATAATGACATTGCAGATTCACTTAAAGAATTTAGGTGTTTACTTTGTATAGTTATGATCAATTAAAACAAAATCTAAATACTGAAATGGGGACAATTTGTTTATTTCTTTTGGCTTTGTATATCATATCATCGAGAATTTGTTTGTAAAAGTATTATTAAATTATACTCTAAAAATTAACACATAAAAATTACGTCGATAAAATATCTATCCTATAATTCCATTGATATATATTTTTCTTTAAGTTAGTTGTACCTAGAACTCATATTTAGGGTCTTAGAAAAACAACTCATATTTGGGATACTATTGGAAAAATAACGATAGAAATTACTTGCTTATAGTTTTTTTTCCCCTGATAATCTACTTCCTTTTTGGTAGAAAGGTAAGCTACTTCCTTGTAGTTACACAAACTCATAAGCAGCTTTTTCTCTCTCTCTCTCTTGGTTGGAAAAATTGCACAAGACATAGAGCTTGTTCGGTTGCATTTTTGAGTTATGGTGATTTGAGTGTAGATCTTGAGTTGAATTTGAGTTATAACTTGAGTTGAAGTTGTAACTTGAATTTGTGTTTGGATGTGCACATTTGAGTTATGGTTTAAATTGAGAATCTATTTGAGTTTGTGTTTGGGTTGGTCAAAACTTAAATTTGTATTTAGATAGTATTTTAATAAAAATTCAATAGTGATGAAAAATTTTAATAGGGTACATGGATGAGATTTTATTCATCTCTTCATTGTGAACGCATAGAAAAGAAAATCATCTCAATCAGAATTAAAACGAAAAAATTATGGTGTTTTTAAGAATAAAAATATATTGTTTATTAATTTGAGTTTGAATTTAATAACTTGAGTTGAAGGGAAAACTTAAACTCAGATTTTCGTCCCAAATTCAAATTAAAACTCGACTTCAAACTTAAATTTTATAAATGAGTATGAACTTGAATATAATTATAACTTGAGTTTAAATTTTTTTTAAGTTTTGATACAAAAGAACAAGAGCAGTTAGTGTCACACAGACTGTGAACAGAGACTGTATATTAAGCAGTTGACACTGATTTTCTGCAATCCAACAAACTAATAGCAGGGTTCACGATAAGATAATGGGATGAAGAGCAGGGTATCCCTGCTCATGATAATATTAACTGATTGATTGTACTAAAGCAAGAGCGCACGAGTGCGCAAGATAAAAAGTGACGTGGGGTCAAACAAACAAAAACTCTCTCTCTCTCTCTCTCTCTCTCTCTCCTCTAACCTGACTCACCATTTTTGTCCTTCACTCATTCCCACATATCATCAAAAACCCATTTTATTTTATTTTCTTTTTCTTTTTCTTCTGCTTCTACTTCTCTTCTATTTCTTTTTCTAGTTCAAAATTTCTGATGGTCATCGCATTTATTCCCAGATAGAGAGGAGAGAGCGAAAAAGAGAAAGGCCTTTTCCTCTCAGACTCTGAACAATGGAGGGTCTGCCCCGTGGTTACCGTCCCAACGTTGGTGTTTGCCTCATTAACTCCGATGATCAGGTTCCACTAAATTCACACAAAACTTCGTTTTTGTTCCCTCTTTTTTAATTGTTTTTTACATATTAATATTTTACAGACAAATATTTTGGTCTGTCTTATCTGTTTTGGTCTTGATTTGGAATCTTTGGATGTTATGTCAAATTTGATAATTCAGTTTGACTCTTCATGGAAAAAAGTTCATTTCTTGGCTTTAAGTTTGTTTTCTTTCCTATCTGGCGTTTTCTGGTGGAGATTTGGTTAATTTTTACTCGAAATATTGCAAAATCAACAATATTGTATTCTTTTAATTACTTTTCGCAGTGTATGAATGTAGATCCGTATTCTGGACTGTTCTGTAATTGGGAACGTTCAGAATCTCCCTGCATTGGATTAAAACATAAATTATTATGGGATTTTTTAGGCTTACAAGAAACTCAAATTAGTAGGGTATCTAATCAATAGTTTAAAGAAACTCGCAATTCAGTAGTTTTTTGGCATTTATAAGCTAGTCTTGAAATATTTATTTAGTTTCGAATTGGAACATGAGTAAATGAAATATTGTTTGAGGCACAAAAGGCTACAGAGTACACAAATTTGTTTCTCCAAACTGAGGACTCCTGTTCTACTTCGATGCATGAAAATTGTTAGTCAAAAACTCTAACCTCGCCGAGATCTTACAGGTTTTTGTGGCATCGAGATTGAATGTCCCTGGAGCATGGCAGATGCCTCAGGTGATATATATGTACTATACAGTTAGATGCTCTACGTGCTATGAACAGACCAGTTATTTTATCAAAAGCAATGATACATATCATGAAAAATGCTATCATGAATGCATACGTATCAAAATTTTGTGAAATCTGTAAAATTGAAATTATTATTTTGTCCTAGCCTTTTCTTTACCTCTAAGGGAGCAATTTTGATCCTTTCTCAAAGGGTGAAATTTTGAATGATTTTACTGTCATCCACCGCAAACACGGTCTTTCCAACTTTGAGTTAAGCTTAATTTTTCTTTTCTTGTCTCTTATTTTCGGATCTTTAATCTCAGGGAGGAATTGAAGAGGGTGAAGAACCAAAATTGGCAGCTATTAGGGAGTTGCGAGAAGAAACCGGGATAGTATCAGCTGAATTCATTGCTGAGGTTTGTGCGAAAAATCGTGTTATTGCTTTATGCCACTTTGGTCTTGCAATGGATCCTGAGCACGTAATGCATTTTTCATTCATATTCCGTATGGCTGAGAAGATTTGTGAAAATAGCTATTATAGTAATTTGAATCTCTTTTTCTTCACATATGTGCACAAACAAATCTCAATCAAAGGGTTGTTTTTCAATTCACTTGGTACTAGGTCTTTATGGAGAATTTGGTGAAAACTTGTATTTTCAATCAGTCACACTAAAGAGTTTTGATTAGAACTGTGGAAAGATGTTGATGTATGGTATCTATGTTTCCACTCAACCACCACAAATTTAGGAGACTGTGTTAGCCCCCCCACTGAAGTTTGTCTATTCTAGGAAGCGCAAGGGTATGGGGAGTGAGAATAGAGTAAGTGTTAGGGGGGGAATGTAATTTCGGGAACTAAGAGCTGACGTGGAGAAGTCTGTTAGAAGGATTGTAGGAATCAGGGGATTTAAGGGTGCACGGGGACCTTGGGAAAGGCATTCAGTTATTTTGGGTGCTTTGAGCATTGGGAGGGTGGGACCTCGAAATTCCCAGGTCTTCCTCAACCATTTACATTTCCTTACATACAAATTAGCTTGTACTCAGCCATGGCCACGAGTCTATGGTGGCTCGTTACTGAATAAAAGGAGCAGACGCCCCATTTGCGCTGTTATTTGCCAATCTTCTTTTTCTCTTCTTGTGGTTATTACTCTCTAACTCGCAGGTTCCTAACAGACTGTTTAAGGAAAGATGGCCAGAGGACAGGGGGCCATTTACAGCAGTGATTTAAAGACTTTTCGTTTTGAATTATTGATTTCACCACTGTTAAAATGATGTATAAATTTGTTTATGGGATGAGTGCGGTGTTAACAAGTTGTTTTACTTATGATTGAGTTACACAATGACAGGTGCCAAATTGGTTGACTTACGACTTCCCTCCAGCGGTGAAGGCCAAAGTCAATCGTCTCTGGGGAGGTGAATGGCATGGACAGGCTCAGAAGTGGTACGTCTTTCTTCCTTCTCACAAATACAATTAGTAACCAAGAAAAACAAGAAACCGTGTTTAGTTTATGAAATCCTCATTTAATATGTAAGAAAAAGGCAATTGCTACAGCATGTTTCACCATTTCTGAAGTTTAGGACGTTCTCTCTGCAAACTTTCCCTCATTTGGTTACTTGGACGTAAAGAGGTTTTAATAGATAAGGAAACACTTATCATCTTTTTTTTGTTTGTTTTGGTCTCTCCTTGACTAGTAAAAGTTCAAATCAGATTTCAGAGAATGGAAATAGTAACTTTAGGATTTATAGCTTGGACTAGTTGGATTAGATATCGTCGACTGAGATCACTTCAATACTTTTGATAGCAAGACACCATTAATTAATCTTGTCTTCTTGTATACCTAACGTTCATTTCGAGAGGCTAACTAGATTCTGATCACTCCATCATCAAGTGAAAGTGGTCTTTCAGTTTCATTTGTTACAAGTTGAGCTACTATAGTGAGGTTTGCTCTCAATTAACTAGGATTTTTTAATTCTTGTTGAGGTTACAATAATAACTTGCTGCCTATTAACTGATTACCATGTAGAGAAATGTTACACGTCATAAAAAATTTCATCATCAACACCAGGAATGCACGTGTCAAAATTCTGTTGGTTTTATAAAACTTAAGTGCTTGTTTTGTCCCAGCTTCTTAACCCTTGAAAACTTATATGTTAGTTTGATGGTGTGTCATAAAACTAATTTTTCATGATTGCAGAAAAATTATACATGTTTTTGCTCAACCTCATTCTGTAGGGTATGTTACTCTGAATAAACCTTTAACATGGTTTTTGCTCGTCAACTGCCTATAAATTATTTATGAGACACTAGGGACGTGCAAAAGCTTTGTTTGGTTCTTAAAAATATTACAATTGTTGTGTTTAGTTTACTTATTTGATAGGTCTCCACCTATTAAATTGGTTTATGCTAGAAGAAGGAAGAAGGACCAACAGGGACTGGTTGGTAATTTGATGGAGGATTAGTTGTGGGGATTAGCAATTCTGTTAGGATCCTTGGTCTTGGGATTAGGGAGGGTGAGTGGAATGGAACGTGGGTGGAGAGTGTCCAGTTGGTTATATAAGGATAGTATAAATAGCCCAGCTGTTGGGTTGGGAGGTATCGAATATTTTGTTATCGTGAGAATTAGACTATTGGAGGTCTGGGGTCCTCGAATTCCCCCTTCTATCTGTAATCGTTCTTCTTTTTAATACAAGGAGCCATACCCATTTTATGGTTAATTTCCATTCAAATGCTTACTTGACTTACGGACACTGACTAGAAAAGGACTTAGGAAAACATGAACCTAACAATTTGGTATCAGAGCCCGTCGATCCATGGCTAATCAGCCAGCCGCTGGGGAGCGTTGGAGAGGAGGTTGAACAGTTTCCAGGATGCTCTACAAACCTCCGAAACAATGGTAGACCCAGTACCAAGGTTGTAGGAGGAGGTGGCGAACATGGGAGTGAGACTCGGTGAAGTGCAAGGAGTAGTTGCGGCGATGGGAGCTAAGGTGGATGGAATCCAGGGAACGATCGGCCGACTCGAGGATCTCATGATCCAGCAAGTACGTAACCAGCGCTCTCCTCCGAGGAGAGACAGGGGGGACTACTCTCCGCCAGGGGAGAACCGAAACGAGCAAACTCCACCTAGGCGAGGACCTGGCCCGCCGGCTCGTGCGGATCCCAGTCCTCCGAGGAGAGATCAGGCGAGGGGAAGAAAGGGATATCACCGTTACCGGTCCCCGGATAGAGGGCGCACGGGTTGATCATCGAGGTAAGAAACTTGAACTTCCACTATTTCAGGGAGAGGATCCACACGGCTGGATTTTTCTAGCCGAACGATACTTCACCATTAACGGCATCGGAGGAGAGAAGGTGATGGTGGCCTCCGTCTGCATGGAGGGCAGGGCCTTAGGGTGGTATTAGTGGCTGGATACCTAGGAGCCTTTCGTGGACTGGGAAGACCTCCAAGAGGCTATCCTCCATCATTTTGGCCGTTCCTGGGAAAGGGACCCTACCGAGAGACTTATGGCACTCCGGCAAGGAGGGACGGTGGCGGAATTCAGAGAGGAGTTTGAGTCCCTCGCAGCGGCGATGAGAGGGATACCAAAGAGTGTTTTCAGAGGAGCATTCCTCAATGGACTAAGGGAAGACATAAGAGCAGAGGTCAAAATGCACAGGCCCATGAATTTGGTTACGGCCATGGATCTGGCCCAGTAGGCTGAAGATCGATTGGATGTGGTCGACCGGATCCGGAAGGCGCGGGCGGGTCGAAATACCCGTACAGAGTGGGGCGGCAGAGCAGGGTTCAGCAACCCAAACCCAGCTCCGACTCCTTTTAACCCGACTGATAAGTCTGAGAGCTCTCTTCGATCCCAAATGTCGCGTGACCTAGCTCTGCCCAGCAGGAATCGCGACTCACCCGCGACGGTAGGTACAAGGAATCGCGACTCACCCACGACGGCAGGTGCGACGACAGGAGGTGGCTCCAACTACCGACGACTGACGTACAACGAGGCTCAACAGCGGCGAGCTCGTGGGTTATGCTTCCGGTGTGATGAGAAGTATAGCCCGGGTCACAGGTGTCGAAACAAGCAATTGCAAGTCCTTCTCGCGGTGGGGGAGGAGGAGGAAAGTGAAGACGAGGGTCAAGAGGTGGGGGAGGAGACGACCAAGGTCACTGGAGGGCCGACGGAGGAAGCCTTGGGGCTCTCCTTAAATTCCCTCAAGGGAATGGCGACAGCCAAGACTATGAAGCTAAAAGGGGACTTGGGTGGCCGGGAAGTGGTCATACTGGTGGACAGTGGAGCCTCCCACAGCTTCATAGCGGCAGACCTAGTGCACAGTCTGGCGATTCCCACGGATTTGTCTGTCCGCCATAAGATTGAGGTAGGTAATGGCATGAGCTTCCAACAAAGGGGGATTTGCGGGGGGGTTAGGGTGCTCGTATAGGGATTTTGGGTAGTCGAAGATTTTTTTCCTTTCGAGCTGGGCAGCGCGGATTTGGTTCTAGGAATTTCATGGCTGAGGACGTTGGGGGAAGTCCGAGCCGGTTGGGCCAACTTCACCATGCGGTTCCAGGAAGGAACTGAGTGGATTTGTCTGACAGGGGACCCCTCGTTGAGTTATTCTCCGGTGAGCCTACGTTCATTATCACGAATTTGGAACCATACCAGGATGGGAGTGTTACTGGAACTTCGAGCAACCCAGGACGGAAGAGTGGAGGATGATATGCGGCCATTGCCTCCGAGTTGCGAGCCCCTCATCTAGGAGTTCCACTCCGTATTCAGCATGCCTAAGGGGTTGCCCCATTGCCGAGCTAAGGATCACTGTATTGCCCTCCGTGAGGGTGCAACCCCGCCCAATAACCGGCCTTACAGGTACCCTCAAATTCAAAAGGCTGAGATTGAGCGACTAATGGCAGACATGATGGCCTCGGGCATTATTCGGCCCAGCAGTAGCCCCTACGCCAGGCTCGTGCTGTTGGTCCGAAAGAAGGATGGAAGTTGGCGATTCTGTGTGGACTATCGAGCCTTGAATCAGTTAACCATTCCAGACAAATTTCCAATTCCAATCATTGATGAGCTGCTTGATGAGTTGCATGATGAGTTGCACGGGGCGACCGTATTGTCCAAATTGGATTTGAAGTCTGGCTACCACCAAATCAAGGTACGCGAGAGTGACGTGGAGAAGACAGCGTTTCGGACGCATGAAGAGCATTACGAGTTCCGCGTCATGCCTTTTGGTATCACCAACGCACCGGCTACAATCCAAGCCCTAATGAATTCGGTATTCCGCCCCTTCTTACGAAAATTTGTTTTAGTGTTTTTCGATGACATTTTGATTTACAGCCGGACGTGGGCGGATCATCTCACACATTTAAGGAGTGTGCTGGAAGTATTGAAACAGGAGGCCTTGTTTGCCAATTTCGAGAAATGTGTTTTTGGACAAGGGTAGGTCAATTATTTAGGACACGTTCTGTCGGCTGAGGGAGTATCCGCAGACCAATCTAAGTTTAGTGCGATGTTGTCATGGCCTTCCCCTAGGGCGGTTAGGGAATTGCGGGGCTTCCTGGGCCTTACAGGCTACTATAGACGGTTTGTCATGGGGTATGGATCCTTAGCCCGTCCCCTAACCGACTTGCTCAAGAAGGGCTCGTTCACCTGGTCTTCCACGGCAGAGGCTGCCTTTCTCCTCCTTAAGCGCGCGATGATTGAGCTCCCAGTGTTGGCCATGCCGAACCTCACGAAATTAGTCGTCCTTGAAACTGACGCGTCGGGCAGCGGCATGGGCGCGGTACTAATGCAGGAGGGTCGGCCAATCGCTTACTTTAGCAAGGTGTTGTCCGCTTCTTCTCGTTTGAAGTCAGTTTACGAGCGGGAGCTCCTCGCTATTGTCTTGGCCGTTCAGAAATGGAGGCATTACCTGTTGGGGCGGCATTTTCTTATCTGGGCCGATCAGCGGAGTCTTAAATTCCTCATGGATCAGCGTGTGTTACCTCCTGATCAGCTGCGCCTTATCACCAAGCTCCTCGGTTATGACTTTGAGGTGCAGTACAAACCCGGCGCCGCGAATCGGGTCGCAGATGCCCTTTCACGTTGGGGGGACGATTCGCCGATGGAATTCGCAGCCCTTTCCATCCCACATCCAGTCGACATGACGGCACTCCGGCAGGGCCAGCTCTAGGACCCCAACAGCCGGGACATCACTACTGCCATCCGCCAAGGACGGTCAATATGTGAGGGGTACGTTCTTCGCAACGATTTGCTGTGGTTTCGGGGACGGTTAGTGCTGCCTCTCTCTTGGACTCCTCAGGTACTCCACGATTTCCATAGTTCGGTTATAGGGGGCATTCCGGGTTTTTGTGGTCATATAAACGGATTGCGGCGAATTTTTTTTGGAAATGCATGAAACAAGCAATCAGGGACTTTGTTGCCCACTATGAACGATGTCAGCAGGCTAAAACTGAAGCACTCTCACCGGGAGGCTTATTACAACCTCTTCCGCTTCCCCAACAAATTTGGGAGGATATAGCCATGGACTTCATTGGGGGGCTTCCGAAGTCCAAAGGAATGGATACTATCTTGGTCGTCGTGGATCGCCTTTCCAAGTACGCCCATTTCTGTCCTATGGCCCATCCTTACACGGCTAAACAGGTAGCCTCTGTGTTTGTTCAGGAGATTGTTCGCCTACACGGGTTTCCCCGTTCGATCGTCAGCGACCGCGATTCAATTTTCATGAGTTTGTTTTGGCGAGAACTGTTTAAACTACAGGGAACAAAGCTGCAGCCGAGTACTGCCTATCATCCACAGACGGACAGCCAGTCCGAGGTAACCAATCGCTGCCTGGAGACCTTTCTCCGTTGCTTTGCTTGCGACAAACCACGGTCCTGGTTGTCTTTTCTGCCTTGGGCAGAATATTGGTTCAACACTTCGTATAATGCGTCCATTAAGTGTTCTCCTTTTCGAGCGGTATATGGGCGGGAACCCCCTACTATCCAGCGTTTCCAAGAGGATTCTACCGCTGTCCAGGAAGTTGCCACCCAATTACAGGAGAGAAATCAAATGCTGGATGTCCTTAAAGAGCACCTCCGTTTGGCCCAACAACACATGAAAGAGTTCGCAGACAAACATCGCTGGGAAGCACAGTTCGCTCCGGGCGACCTGGTTTTGCTTCGACTCCGTCCATATTTCATGAAATCCATTGCTCGGAAGGTTAATGAGAAGCTCATTCCTCGCTTCTAGGGCCGTTCGCCATCTTGGAGAAAATTGGTCAGGTGGCGTATCGCTTAGACTTACCTGCTTCTGCCAAGATTCACCCTGTTTTTCACGTCTCCCAGCTGAAGCCGTTCAGGGGGCAGCAGTACCAGGGTCAGCCTCTCCCTGGGCAGTTGATGGCCGACTTGGAACTGGTTGTCAAGCCGGCTGCTGTGTTGGACGTTCGCACCATCTTCGTTGGGGGGGCGCCAAGTGAAAGAAATTCTGGTTCGTTGGGAGGGCCTTTCCTCAGGGGATGCCACTTGGGAACCTGTGGCTCTGATTCGGGACCAATTTCCAGCTTTCAACCTTGGGGACAAGGTTGGTCTCCAGGGGGGGAGTATTGATAGGTCTCCGCCTATTAAATTGGTTTATGCTAGAAGAAGGAAGAAGGACCAACAAGGACTGGTTGGTAATTTGATGGAGGATTAGTTGTGGGGATTAGCAATTCTGTTAGGATCCTTGATCTTGGGATTAGGGAGGGTGAGTGGAATGGAACGTGGGTGGAGAGTGTCCAGTTGGTTAGATAAGGATAGTATAAATAGCCCACCTGTTGGGTTGGGAGGTATCGAATATTTTGTTATCGTGAGAATTAGACTATTGGAGGTCTGGGGTCCTCGAATTCCCCCTTCTATCTATAATCGTTCTTCTTTTTAATACAAGGAGCCATACCCATTTTATGGTTAATTTCCATTCAAATGCTTACTTGACTTACAGACACTGACTAGAAAAGGACTTAGGAAAACAGGAACCTAACAATTGCTCGTCAGTATCTATGTTTCTTCTCTCCTCCCTGTCTTTTGTAATCTTTAAGTACATAGGAGTTGCCTTCTTGTACTAGTTTTGTCAGCATTCAAAATATCATAAATTCATCTGCCTTTAGACTTACATGGATACTCTACCGGGTACCGAGGAATTTTCAGTTTTAACTGACAATGAGTTTGGACAAAACTAACAGGTTTCTCATGAGATTAACAAAAGATGAGAGTGAAGTCAACTTAGCTAATGGGGAAGCGGATCCAGAATTTGCAGAGTGGAAATGGGCGACCCCCGAAGAAGTTATCGAGCAGGTAATTTTCCTTGAGAAAGACACATTTTCCTTCGAATGATTGATCTTGTTATAATCTTTTAAGGACTTTCTAACATATGAAGATCATGACTGATTACACAGGCAGTGGACTACAAGAGGCCAACATATGAGGAAGTTATGAGAACCTTCAAGCCTTACTTCAACAGAAATGAACAATCCGCGAGATGTAGATCGAGTAAATGGTGAATGTTGTGACTCTTCTTGTGCTTGTAGTTATATGTGTCCGTGTTGTTAGCTTGTTTTCTACCCATTTTATTTGGTCTCAGTGGTGCTCAGCTTCTTTGTAAATGGTTATGGTGATCAAACTTCAAGTTAGATGTTTGCTTTCTTTTGAGCCTTATCACAATAAAATCCTTTTTTTTTTCAAATCAATTGGTTTGTTTCATTTGAATAACAATTACGAATTGTTAGTGTCGTTCAAGGGCAAACAACATTCTATCTACATGAAGCAACACGTTCATTTTCGTAAACGACATCCCGTTTGTAACTCAATCTTGTTTCTTCCATAACTAACATAGCGCTTATTTTAAAAGTAAATGCTACACTCCAATAAAAGTCAGTTCTACTTTTTAAAAAATACATGCATATATAAGCTTCTTCTTGCGTCCCTCAGGTGGGACGTCTCTCGGTTGCTTTTTGAATGCTTTTGATGATAAATTACTTTTCATTGTGTATTCTATTAGCACGTGGACATCATTATATGAGCTTCTTTTTAATTTTTTTATTTATAGAACCGGTTGACATGGGTGGAGTACTGCACTTGACCTGGGTTTATTGTAATAATGAATTTGAATGGTGTCTTTTGTAGTAAATTCATGCACTTTTTTTATTTTTAGTCGATGCAAAATTTTGGATATTTCTGAACAGAATACAACAACGTAACAAGGGATCTGAAGACGAAACAATTAAGCACAAAAAACGTAACAAGGGGATAGAGTAATTCCAAACATTCAAAAAAGATAATAAATTCCTATTCATATGTACGCAAGGGAAGCTAAATATGTACTGTTAATTAATAATAATTAATGATTAACTAAAAGATAGTGAAATATTAGTTAATCCATCAAAATCACAGTAACAATAACTTAAATTTTTTTGACGAGTCCTTATTATCCATTGTGTTGCTACTTAAGGAAAGCAAAGAGAAGAAACTCCCCATTCTCCGAATAAAATTGCTATATAAGTTGTTTGATTGAGGCTACATCAGCAACAACTAGAGCTAAAAGTTCGAGCCACCTAGTCTAGCCCGGGCTCGATGGTCTGAAAATAATGTTCAGGCCGGAACAACCTAAACTTTTAATCTAAAGGGAGGAATGCCAGCTCAACTGAGTCCTAAAAGTCCTACTTAGACTTTTACAAAGGAGTTTTTTTTTTAAAAAAAAAGAGAAAATAAAAGTCGACCGATCATAATAGTTTTGATTATAGAGTATTGGACTGGCTCAATAGTTTGGGCCGAACTAGATCAACAGTGACGGATCTTGGACTAGACCGACTGGTCTGCTTGGCCCAACCTAAACTTACAGCTCTATCCACAACTATATTCATAGTCTCATTAATGATCTAAATTAATTATTGAGGTTAATAAATCTTAAAAAAAATTACAAATTTTAAAACTTAAACAAATTGTTTTGATGGTATTTAATATAAGGTATTCTTTATGGTGAGACCCTATTTTTAATTGTTTGATTAATTTTTCAACAGTTAAATCTACGGAGGTCAGTATTAAAAATTTATAGTGCGCCGCACAGAACTACTCATGCTGCAAATTTAACCGTTGAAAAATTAATCTAACACTTAAAAATAAGAGTCTCACGGTAGTTTTTTTAAAAAAGTCTCACCATAGAAAATGCGTATAATTGAAAATGGTATGGTTAGGAGTCCCACATAAATGGTTATTTCGGGGAGTATTTTATTAATTTCTTTACAGATAAATAGGATAACATTTGTGTTTAGATAAAGGAGACAAAAATGTTATTTTGGCTAAAAGGTTTACACTTTTGGATGTGATTTTTTATTTTTTTAGTTCGGTAAAGGATGCGGTACCTTAAAAGTACTTGGAGAATAATTTATTATATTTTGATATAATAAGGGCAAATGGGGTATTAATATTTAGCACATAGGATGTTATATATTCTCAAAAATATTTCACACATAGGATGTTTGTGATATTTTTCCATTTTAATAAATATGGTTAGTTTATATAATGATAGTTATTTTGTATTAAATAAGTCAACTAGAACAACAATTTATTAAACGTACCTATATTAAATTAAATATCATAACTCATCAAATAATTTCCCATTTTTCATTACTATATTACGTAACTAATGTATCAAATTAATTATACAGTACAAATAAGGGACGTCACATTAGTTATAAACACATCTTATATATACCCTAATGTTATATATGTCCCTAATTCAGACAATGTTTATCCAAAAAGTACTTGGTATATGTTAAACTTTATTCAAATACAGACTAAGCCACGGTGGTGAGATAAAAAAAACAACATGTGGTACTCAAACTAATAATATTATTACACGCTTCTTCAATGCAAAACGACATGACATCTGATGCCCCTCATTAACCGGTTATTACCAACCACATTTAAAATGCCAAAACTTCAATATAAACCATTAGATACAATAAGAAAAAGGAGGGACGGTCCCTCGGAGGGACCGAAGAAACCCCTATATATACAATGAAAATACGTGATTTATTAGTAATTATTAATTAAAGGTCATTTTAGCTGTCTTACTCTTGTCATTTACTAGCGAGAGCAATAAAATAAAATAAAATAAAGATAAAAAAACACATATAAAATTTATGGTGATTCACTTTTAATGTAAATGTTGATACGTGTAGAGCAATGATTAGAATTCATACACTGGACATTTGCAATATGCTCTTCCAGCCAAAACTAATCAACATCGGATGAAAAACTAAACAATGCTAGAGATTGGCCACATTTAGAAGACTAGAAACATAGGTGCATGTAGCACCTCCAATTAGTAACAGCAGCTTTCTTTGATAATAGGCCCTCTAAAGCCGAAAAGGGAAATACTAAGCAGCCCTTAGTGCGTTAGCAGCATCACTCCTTCTGTTGTACTTTCATAAGGAGGATTATTTTTTTTAAACAACGATATTTCATTTAATAATTAAGTCGATATAGACTTTAAAAACTCATTTATTTCACGTGTTTAAATTCATAATTTTAATTCTGTTATAATGTTTTCTTTTCACAAAAAATTTAAATTTCAAATATCAAAATAAAAAATTATTGATTTAAACGTATGAAATAAACGGATCATAATATAATTGTGAAATGTAAGGAGGATTGAAACCTAACTTTGTAGCAGGAAAGAAATTATTGAGAAAAAATTTCTCCTTCAATAAGGACTTTTTTTTCCGGATAAAAACAAAAAAAGGGAGGGATCGGGTTACTTAACGCCAGCATGCCTTGTTGGGCCAAAGGGGCCTGTTTGAAAACATGCAAGGCCTTTTAAATCCTAGACCACCTATTTTTTAGGATGCAAAAATAACAGATTTATGGGAGTAGTAAAATTACATAGTAAATATCATAATGATATTTACATTACTACGAAATAATTATTTTAATGATATTAATTTTTGCTATTTGTAAACTATTTTGAGTTTTTTGCTATATTTTAGCATGGCTAGTTAGATTTTACCATATATCTAAAGCAAGGGCGGAGCTACATTACGCCCAGGAGTGGGGTGGGGTGCAGTTGTCCCCCACGGGCCAATGGATCCCTCTAATTTTGCCTCAATATATATATATATTACTGTTTTTCTTACTATTTGCCCCAACGAAATTTTATGTAAATTATAACATTGAAGTGGAATTTTTTAAAATATTTAACTTATACTCCAAGTTTTGACTTTTAAATATACTTGTCTCTTAAACTTTAAACTCAAATCAACCAAAACCCAATTATAGTACAATATAGTTTCTACTTATGGGACTCAAATTAAAAAAGGGAACTAAACTCTATTACATAATTTTTATCTAAGAAGAATAAAATAGACATGACATGACATAGCTTATCCAAAACTTTCCAATTGATCTGCCTATTTTTTCACATCCCCTCCCCACCAATACCTTTCCAATCACACACCATTAAATCATCACGCAGTTTCGTGGGAATCTTAAACATACTCAAAGTATAAGCAAAAGCAACTACCTTGCTTTTTCCCAATCTAAAAAAAATATAAGTAGGCCTTTTTACATGAGTACTCCTAAACTTCTTGATTGGCAAATCAGTCTCTTAATTTTAAATCTTGACAATCAACCCCTTGAGGTTTAAAATTCATTGCATTGCAAGTCCAATAAATAACGGTGTAAAAAACTTAATAGATTTTTTCCTCACGTGACTTGCATGTGATTTTTAAGAAGGGCATGAATGGTATAGGCAGTAAAATTGGGTTTAATAAAAATAAGAAAAGAATTTAAACAGACAAAAAAAAGACTAAACAATTAGAAAAATAGTTCTATGATCTATCATGCCGATGGGTTGGGGATCAATTGAACAAGAAAAGAAGTAATCATATATTTCAATAGCTTAATGCAAAGACAAAAGAAGAAAAAAAAAAGAGAGAGAGATTTAAGAAGAAATAAACCATTTTGCAATCCCAACTTCTAATCGATATTCATAACAAATCTTATCTCCTCATCCATTTTTGCATATAATGATTAGATTGAAGAACAAATAAACCAAAATTGATACCGAATCTCTACAATCAGGTTTAGGATATGAGAAAAGATGTCTTGAAGGGTTGGTTTTTTTTTTCCCCTTAAAAAAGAGAATTTAAAGGATGAAATGTTTCACGACTCAAGGATAAGATCTCACCACCTTAAGATACAGAAACAATAGAGAATTCACCACTCAATGAAAATCCACCAAAGAGATAAGAAATTCTGGAGTATAGCTGAATAGCTTCAGTTTTACAATTCACCAAAATCATCTCAGTTATGGCCACATACATTCTTTTAAAGACACGTTTTTCCTAATGGCTGCAATAATAAGCCACTAATTACAAGCTTAAAACTAAAAACATAACTTCTCAGCCTACTAAGATACACACATAAAAGCTGAAGTTACAAGCCACACAAATTCCACCATTACAACCAATTAAACACAGCTGAAACCCCTAATTAAAACACACCAGATAACAACCACTTTCAGCCAGCCTCAACACACAATTAAACACACCTTAAACACACAATAAAGATACAATTAACACCACCAATTAGCCCAAAACGTCCACATCTGGAATTGATCAGCCACCAAGCAAAGAAATTAGGTCTGAACTTGAACTAAATAGCTTGAAGAAACAATTAAGTCAAAACCTGAACTCAGGCCCAGGTCCGCATATCCACCTTGGTACGAACTTGAACTTGGATCTGAACTTGACCCTACTTGAACTTCATCAAAAATGGTCAGACATGTGAAGACATAAAGCAAAAAATGACGATTTAATAGGGTGCAGATCTGGTGGAGACTTGAGTGATGGAGGCGATCTGCCCAGCCACTTAGAGGCAAAGTAGATCGCCAAAGGATGGCATGTATATCTGTTGATGGTGAAATTTCGTCAACAGAAATACGCCGGATTACCCTCTGGTATCCCGCGGGGTTACAGGCTAGAAATTAGCTGTATATTTGAAATTATGCTATGAAGTGTTTGTTGTGTTTTGTGAGCATCAACATAACACTTGAATGAGAGAACACACGAGATTTATAGTGGTTCACTTTGTTAATGAAGAGCTACATCCATTTATGTATGGTATATTTCTTTAGGACTCTTTACAATTTACATGCACGTATCCTCTTTATTGTCTAATGCTTCGGAGAGCTCTCTCTCAGTGTATGGGGCTTTGCCCCTTTTTATAACCCAAGCTTCCTTCGTGGGTGGTTTTCCTTCGTAGGTGGAAGTACTCGAGTGGCCTACTTAATAGGCTAAGACTGTAGCCCACTAATCACCTTTTAGGCTATTCACTCAACCAATTGGTCTTCTATTACGGCTCTGTAGATTCCTATAATCTCTTACTGCCCCTTGCAGGGCGGTTTAGGAGTTTCACAATTAATGCCTGTATTGCAGATGTCTCCCACCTTTAGACGCAACTTTATGATGTCAGGCTTCTTTCTGAATAGCGTTCCCCTCGGCGTCTGGGTCACGCAGACCTCACGCCCTTTCTGATCTTTTCCGAAGGTTGTTTGCATAAGTTTGACGGCACAAAGGGTCGACGCCCTAATTTGGGCCTCTTTGCAGCGTCGAGGGGTAGTGAACTCTAAGCGTCGAGGGTAGTTGAACTCTTGGTGTCAAGGGTTGCCGCCTTTTGAGGGAAAGTAGGGCCACGCGTCATGCTGTCGCCGTTCCACATGTCACCCATATTTTCCCACACAACAATATCTATTCGGTCGGTATTGCGAAGAGGAGCATGCAACAATTTTTCTAGCAATACTTCAGATCTCGGCAATCTCCATCAAAGAAATCGATGACGGGTTTGTGGCTGCAAGGATCTGCTCCAGATCCGTGAAACCCATAAAGATCTATGAGATCTTCTTCACCGACGCTGGTATGTTGCAGAGGCCGGAAAAGATGTCGCCGGATGAATGCACGGGGTAGGCCGCAAAGAGAGAGACATTTTCTTCTTTCATTTCCTTTTATTTTTTTGGTTTTTTAATTTCTCCATTATAAATTGGACTATTCATACTCTTCTTAAAAATCTTCATTAGCAAAAAAAAAATACTCTTCTTAAAAATCACGTGCAAGGCACATGAAGAAAAATCTATTAAGTTTTTAACACTTTTTTTATTGGACTTGCAATGCAACAATTTTAAATTTTGAGGAGTTGATAGTGAAAATTTAAACTTGAAGTACCGATTTATCAACCGCGACAAATTTAGGAGGTACTCATGCAAAAAAGCCCCAGCTAGATAGACTTGAGTTCAAGAAAGGTATCAACCGCCCTTCAAGAAATATAAAAAAAGGCGCTTTAAAGCCTTCACGTGGGCAAGTGGCGTTAAATAAGAGAAAATGTTTATTAAATTGATTTACAATATGATATTTCTTTCTTTTTTGTTTTTTAGGGGAATTATGATCTATTTTTATATGCTAATCATGTGTGGAATTTTGCAGCTAATGGCAGCGTAACATGTGGGTTGGGTATAAAGGGATGGACAAAGTCAGAAATGACCGGCTTTAATTTGGCCATTGTCCAAGGCAGCTCCGATTGGTAGGAGAGATAAAAATAAGAAAGATATGAGGGCTGTTTCTTTACCTTTTTTTTTTAATTAGGTGATTTGAGTGTAAATTTTAAGTTAAGTTTGAGTTATAATTTAAGTTAAAATTATAATTTAAATTTGTATTTAGTTGTGTATATTTAAGTTATTATTTGAGATAAGAATCTTTTTGAGTTTGTGTTTGAGTGAGTTAAAACTTGAATTTATATTTAGATAGTATTTTAATAAAAACTTAATGCTGATGAAAAATTTTAATAGGGTATATAGGTGGGGTTTTATTCGTCTTTTCGTTGTCAATGCATAGAAAAAAATCATCTCAATCAGAATTAAAACGAAAAAATTATAGCATTTTAAGAATAGAAAAAATATTGTTCATTAATTTAAGTTCGAGTTTCTGAACTCGAGTTGAAGGAGAAACTTGAACTCAAGTTTTAATCCCAAATTCAAGTTCAAACTCAAATTCAAACTTAAAAGAATATAAACTTAAATAAAATTATAATTCAAATTATTTTTTTTTAATTTTTAACTCAAAAAAAAAGGGCCGGGAACAGCCCTTATTTTAACTATTTTATACTACTTCTTTTCAAGATAAAATATTCCTTTTTAAATTTTTATTAATCGATTGCATGATTTAAGGGATTCTACCTCTATCTCTCTTCCTTTTTTTCCTCTTAACTAATGAATTGAGATCGCGAACCTCCCTCTCTCTCTCTCCATTTCTCATTCCTGCCAAACACACTGTAATTATTGCTTCTATTATGTTCGGTTTGTAGATTTGCATAACAATAATTTTTTATGAGCAAAAGAACTGTAATAAAAAATTTGAACTGTGATTTAAGTCTGTTTGTACTCTTCTTTATCTCGTCCTTGTGGGGAATCCAAAATCTACCACATCAGCCCTTATTTTAACTATTTTATACTACTTCTTTTCAAGATAAAATATTCCTTTTTAAATTTTTATTAATCGATTGCATGATTTAAGGGATTCTACCTCCATCTCTCTTCCTTTTTTTCCTCTTAACTAATGAATTGAGATCGCGAACCTCCCTCTCTCTCTCCATTTCTCATTCCTGCCAAACACACTGTAATTATTGCTTCTATTATGTTCGGTTTGTAGATTTGCATAACAATAATTTTTTATGAGCAAAAGAACTGTAATAAAAAATTTGAACTGTGATTTAAGTCTGTTTGTACTCTTCTTTATCTCGTCCTTGTGGGGAATCCAAAATCTACCACATAGGAATGAGCGACATTACGCCCAAACCTTCTGTGCAAAAAATGAGATTTTTTTTTTATGGAAATATACTTTAAATGAGAATCTTTTTAATTACAGGTGAACAAGACCAATAGCTATTTGTTGGGAAATAAAAATTAATGGGCGATATTTGAATGATTAAAAAGAAGGTTTTTATTATTTTGATACTCCGCATTTTGACGTAATATTACATTAGTGCTAGTGGGGGGAGTTAGAAAAAATTTTCTGGCATATAAATTAAGTTAAAATTTTAAACGTGTTTTGGTTATTTTTCCGTTTTTAAAATTTAACAAATACCCGACTCGTCTATATTTTTTTTAATGAAAAAAAAAAGTATAAGCAGGAGTGACCGGCGATAATTACCTTCTAGAACAATCAGACTCATCTATATTATTATTGTACCTTATTCTTTTCTTAATGAATAAGTCACATCCATATATTGTAGTTTGACTGTTCGTTTAATAGACTCAAACGACAACTGGTTTTTTAATTTTATTTTTTGCTACGTTGAATATTTGAATGTTGAATGTTGCATTAAAAAACAAAGCGTGGTCTTTCCATTTCGTTTTTTGCCAGGGAGTAGGGACCCCTTGTCTTTTTAATTGGATAGATCAATTATTCATTGACTAATATATATATACTATGGCGACTCTCTTACACAACTCCATTATTTCTGGCAGGAATAATTGAATGCTAGAAGGATAAAGAGAAACTGAGGAAACAAGAAAACTTTTAGATAAAAAAGAGTAAAACGTTTTAGAGATCAAAAGATGATAGAAAAACAATCACAACAAAACGTTATTCAGATTAGATTGAACACTGTAGCTCCCAAGGATGGTAGTAAAGAATCCATGGGAATAAGACAAGATATTCAGATTTCCATGACAACTCACAGCCCATTTTCCATGTTCTCACTTGCAAAGCCCAATGTCAACCTAGAAAATAATATAAACATATACATACACACATATTTAATTATATATATGTATATTTATAATACAGAATGCGTGTATTATGTGTGAGAGAGATTGAAAAAAAAAAAAAAAAAAGTATTAAGTGCAGCGTCGTGGCGTAAATTTCGCCCAATATTCATGAATCCAATAATAATAGCAATATAAGTAATGATAATAAAAGAAGAAGAGGAAAAATGAATAAGGAGATGGTCAAAAGAAATCTTCAAAAAAAAAAAAAAAAAAAAAAAAAAAAGAGAGGGCAAAAAAAAGCAGCCAGAACAGGTAAAAATCATCGACAAATGTGGCCAAATGTGCCTTTAGATGGTCAAAAGAAGCAGCTAGCACAGGTTAAAACTGGATCAGAAGCTAGTCCTTTATACCAGAGAGGATTGCAATAGAAACCATGATCAACTCTTTAGTTTGTTTCTATCATTAGTTTGACTTTGTTTAAGCTGATGAGATAGGACAGAAGCAGAAGCAGGTCATTTGTTGCTTAAATTCCAGTTCAGGTAAAACCTCTCTTTCATTCCAATTTGTTTCTGATCTGTGATCTTGCATATCAAAACTCATGATCTTTTACGTTAGATTATGGATATTCCGATTCTGTTATGTTTCATTTTTTGTTTCTAATAATTAAGAATAGCTAGTTACTAGCTTCAAGGCTTGCCTGTTTCCCATGAATTTCAGAATGAGATGAGTCTCGGAAATTCTAGGACAATATATTGGTTCGTTTAGTATGAGAGTTCAAATCCGGGTGATTCTAATTTTAATTTTAGAATCAGAACCATAATTCATGATTTTGAGTCCAAATCATGGTTCTAAAACAAGAAATAGAATCAAGGGTTTGAACCACTCAAAATTAAGGGGGTGATTCATGGTTTAAACATCATATCAAGATTTAAACATTGAATCGGAACCATCCTAACCAAACACTGATTCTAAATCAGATTTATAGAACTCTTACACCAAACAACACCTAAGAGACACCTAAGAGTTTTAAGTGTTCTATTGATTTCAATTTTGATAGTTATATATCAAAGCTCAGGCTCGAATTGTTAAACCAAACTTGTAGTTATTTTCTAAACACTTTACTGAAAATATGAGAAAATTTGAACCTTTTTTTTTTTAAAGTATCTTAACTATTTACATAAGGAAAATAATTTCTCAATAAAACTTCCTTAAAATATTTCTACATCACCCATCAGGTCAGACTCGTCTATACAATCTTAACCCAACCAACACTACAACTTTATGTGCTTGTTATTTAATATCATGCTTTTAACATAGAAAACATTTCATTTATGTGTTCATCTCTACCTTTTATGATAGCTTTGTATAAATATTATTAATAACATAAACATAGCACATGAAATTTTTTAGTATAAAGTAAGAGCCTAGCACGCATTTGTTTTATTTTTATTTTTATTTTTATTTTTTATTTTTTATTTTTATTTTTTTTTTTGTATATAAACAAGCATCACACAAAAATATACTATACTTGTGTTGTAAGTTTCTACTTACTTGACTTCCTTAGATGCAATCATGACGATGCTGAACGACTTAAGTTTGCTATTACATAAATTGTAATCCACCAATTAGAATTTACAAGGGCTTAACTGAGCTTTAACGATTCTTTACGAACTTGTTAGTTAAAACTCTCTAAAGATTTCGTTGAACAAACCGACTAACTAATATTTGAAATCATTATGGGGTTTTGATGAAAACTAATTAGTTAATATCTTCTTAGATATGTTAAACTTTCCTTCTTTACATTTTTTTTTTTTTTATTGTAGCACTATGAAAAACTAAAGACATTTTTTTAATTAAATAGGATTATAATTACATACTTTCATTATTGAATAAGACAGTTAAAATTTTTCGTATAAGGTGGAGACATAACGAAAATTTAGAAAAATTTAATATGAAAATACTTTTATAAAGTATGAGTTGTATGTGACGCCACTCACTTGGCAAGGTTCCGTGACAGGAAATATAAAAGAAATGACAACAATAGGATTGGAGTGGTGGAATATTGAGAATTTTCATTTTTCTAGCTGTTGCACCTATCAATTATGCAACTTATGTTTCATTAATTTGTTTACCATTTACGATTGGTGGTGCTGGCATATCTGTGACGATCAATTAGAGTCCTTACCGTTTCACTTGTGGTCTCAAAATTGCCAAGTGTCCACTATTTTTATTTATTTTTAAGTCATTAGTAATTTGTTATCTATAATATTACCTTCATGATCCATATGCGGACTCTACGTATGCATGTAGTTTGCTGGGAGCAGAGAAAATTAAGAAGCAAACATGGATAATGACTATGAGCGATGGGATTTATGGAATCTACGGTTTTGTGTTATCCTGAGCATCGTCCTACAGCCTACCTTAGCGCTCTTGCCATCCATGAGGCAGCGATACAAATCCGTCTGGGTGCACATATTGATCTGGTCCGTCTTCTTGCTATCAGATTGGATACCCGTTTATGCTCTTGGTCAAACCATCCAAAGCCCCAGTGACGTGAAGGACTCCAACTCCATTTCCGAAGAAAATAGAGAAATTTTTGTATTCTGGGGACAGTTTTTCTTGGTCTATCTTGGAACAACTGACAGCCTCTTGGATAGAGGTATTTGGCTGAAGCAACTTGCTGGGGTCATTCTACAGCTTGTGTTTACTGCCAATAGCTTGTTTATGCTCGTAGTAGCCAAAAGCCATAACCTACGGGCCGCCACGCTCCTGGTGTTCTTTGTGGGAGTTATCAAGTGCTTTGAAAGAGTGAATTCTCTTCTCAATGCAGGCTTTGAAAGTTTTGGACAAGTTTTGTTGCCCAAACCGAACCCCGGACCTGACTATGAAGAGGTTGTCACGGCATTCTCAAGGACACCAACGACGGGTGCGCAGGTGATCCGAATGCCGTCAGACCGGATGAATATGACGCTGCTTAACTCTGAGAACTCCAACACAGAATTCAATGATTTCCGATTGAAGGAAGAAGCATATTCAAACTTGAAGGCATTCAAGGTCCTCTTAGCTGGCTCTTCTGTGAGCTTCGAGGATCGAGAAAAGAGCAGGGAGTTTTTCCTGAGACTTAACAAATCAGCTAATGCTTTTAGATTAGTTGAGTTAGAGCTCAACATCTTGAACGATTTTCTCCATAACAAGGCGGCTACAGCACAGAACAGGGTTGAGGTCTCTTTGCGATCTATTTGTTTCGCCTTTATAATTGCTGCCTATATATTGTTTTACGTAGCTAAGAAGGATGATTATAGTGATACTGATATTAATCTTACCTACCAATTGATGGTTGCACCCATTTTACTTGATATCACATTTATACCAACGCTCATCCTTTCTAAACGGAGCTCCCTTTGCGGAGAATCATCCTGGAGAAAACGTATAGCTGCATTTATGCTGAAACAAAAAAGATGGTCCAGGTCAGTCTCCCAGTATGATATGATCAGCTATTGCCTAGGTAGCCGCCCAAGGCTAGTACTCTGCAGGTTGATTCGAAGTAATTTTCATCTCGAAGGATATATAGACAGGACGAGAACAGCCTTTGTTTCTTCCGCAGTTCCTGTCACTAAAGATCTGCAGGATTTTATTTTCAATGAGCTCAAAACAAAATCTGAGAATGCAGACAATTTAAAGGATGCGGCAGAAGCATGTTCACAAAGGGGTAGTTCAGCCCTCTTGCGGAGTAGGAGTACCACTCCCGAGTCTACAAAACTTAAATGGAGCATTGAAGAGTTCGATTATATGAAGAGCCTTCTCCTTTGGCACTTGGCCACCGAGTTCTGTTATCAGCTTGATCAGGAGGAAGACCTGTTGTCAAGCACTCAAAGAGAGCATAAAAACATTTGCAAGCTTGTCTCAGACTATATGTTTTATCTACTGGTCACACAGCCCAAAATGTTGCACCCAGATCTTGGAAATTGGGGCGTAACCTTCCAAGACACTCGGGCAGAGGCCGAAAGATTTTTTGAAAAGCACTCAATATTGCGCCATTTGGAGGCCTGTGAGAAGCTGAATAAGGTAGAAACACCATACAGATCGGCTAAAGTGAAGGGAGACATGAGCAAGTCTTTGTTGTTTGATGCGTGCATCCTCACTAAAGAGCTAAGAGCTATGGAGCAGAAGAGGTGGGAGGTTATGGCCAGAGTGTGGGTAGAATTGATGTCTTTTGCTGCCATTAATTGCCTGCCCGCCATACATGCGCAGCAACTAAGTAGAAGCGGAGAACTTTTGACTCACATTTGGCTACTGATGAACCATCTGGGTTTGGGAACGCAGTTCTTTGAACAGGAAAGGGAACATGGAAAGATATGAGATATAAGCAGAGGAGATGAGACCTAGAATGTTCACTGGATGCTTAGCTTCAAGAACTATTTTAGGGATGAAGATTATGTTTATTATTGAGGTTTCTTATTATGCTTGGATTGTCTTTATATATATTTTCACTAGGCTTCTATTGGTATCCTCTTAGTGTTTGCAGTGGGAGAGGTTTCGAGTTGATTAGATAAAACCATATTACCTCATGTCACATTCCGGTTGTTCTCGTTTGGCCTTTGATTTGATAGGTTCTACATAGACTCGATTATGTTGTGTTTCAGCGGACTTTTGAGTTGATAATGTAGCAGATTATTGGAAATTCTCTCTTTGACTCCATCTATATTCTTTTTCCACTCTTCATCTTTTTCTTCTCCCCAAAGTTCTCTCTTTCCACGTCCTACATCACTTTTACTACTAGAACTAAGCCACCTTCTGCGTTAATGTTAACAGTGTGTTGAAAACTTGAGAAACCTTGGGACTTTTGCTTTTAAAAGAGAAAGCAAGCTGTCCACTTTAATCTGAGGAAATATACTTTAACATCACTGAAACCCAATCAAAATTTGCAAAAATAAATTCACCATCTGAACAAATTAGGTCGACAATAAGAATAGAACATAGATCTTTATACTTTAAACATAGACATGACAGTTGAGAAAACATGGAAGATGAAGAGAAACAATTATCTCTCCATAATTACATGAAAGCTGGAGTAAAAACATTAACTTGATTGGTATCAAATAAGTTGGATTGAGGTTAATATTTCTCACTGTCGGATTCATCCGATAGCCTAATGATCATCCCCTTCTACCCACTTCCATCAAGTTGTCCCATAGAGAGAATGTGTGCCATGTATTGCTGTAAGCACACAGATGAAAATGAGAAATGTGCAAGTAAGTGCCATGGAAATCAAATTCTTAATGCTGACACAGTAAAACTTTAGAAAGTCAAAAACATTTGAATCGTCGAATTATATTTATGAGGCAGGACCATCTACTATGAACTACGAAGATATTGAGGAGTGTTTTAGAATATCAACTTTCAGGTCAGCATGCTGATACAGCATAAAATATACACCAAATTTATTAACAAATGAAATACAAAAGAAACCTCCACCGATCACCTCGAGATAATGAGAGAAGACATATCTTCATCTCTAGATTCTAATATATTGAATAAGAATAGAAAGCATATCTTAAGCAGACTACAACACCACATGTAACACCCACAACTGTCATTGTTTGTATATACCATTTGAAAGCAAATAAACAGTTTGATAACCTTTTGACAGCCCCAAAATTCCCCAAACCGACTTGGTGGGCTTGAGTTAGAAACCGAACCCTGCTAAACTCTACAATCTTTCAGAAGCTTGAAACTCTTGGTTACTCACCGGAAGGGGGCCCTGCGGAATTGAACCCCAGACCATGTGGGAGCAAAACCACAGGCCTGAGCCTGACTGCCTCAAACAACCCTCATGCTGGGCACTTGTAATAGAAATAGTTTACTGATAACCACATCCAGTTCATTAACAACTAAAGGTTGAGAAGCATCGTTCTAGAGGGACATTGAAAGAAGTAGAAACCACCGTATCCATAAATCTAAACTAGTTATTCACGATCTGAGCGTTTAAATTTCTGCTTTTGCGGTCCTAATTGATAAGGAAACTTAAACAAATTCAATTTCATGATTTGTGGGATTTGTAAATGGTTCATTTTTTTCCCCTTAAACATTTGTGACTCTAGGAGATTTGTTACTTCTTTCCTTTTCATGTATACCTTGTATTCAAGTCTATATTGTACCTTATGACATCAATACAAATAGTTCAACCATTCACAAAATTCAATCTTTCTCAACCTATCATACTAATCTCCATAAAAAGTTGATAATCTTGTTAGTTAAAGTGAGTTATTTACTTTGACTGGGGACCAAAAAAGACAAAAAAATAAAAAAAATAAAAAATAATAATAATAATCAAATGTAGTCCATAACACAACATGAAATAATCAAACCAGACCTCACTCTAAAAAACAAAGATATAAAACCAAGTTGTTATTATATGCATGAAAAAGATGACACGTTCTTGAAGTAGATAGGGAAATAGAACAACTTACAGAATGGTATTCATATGCTGAATTTCCCTGACGGTTGAAGTGTTTAGCCATGATGGAGAACTCAATTGAGCCCCATTCTTCCGTTTCAAAGCAATTCCCAAGCGCAGCTTTGTACAACTACAGAACCCAAAATAACAAATTATATGTACACACACACACACACACACATATATATATATATATATGCAAGTGTCACTTAATCAAACAACTAATCTGCAGTCTCAAACCTTTGTAGTGTCCACCAAAAGCTCCGTTCCAGCTGGGTAGGACGCATAGAATTGATCGCCTCGAGAATACCCAGCTCTAGTTCTGCAAAACCCAGAACCTAAAACCCAAATAAACACAAAAAAAAAAGACCAAAACTTGAAGAACAAAAAGGAGTACAATTCAACTCACGTATTGTTTGTATAGGCGTAGCTCAAGCCCGCCGCGAAGAAGTAGAATCCGGTATACGACACAATTCTTCGGAGCTTCTGAATCTTTAGAAGCTCCACAAAGCCGTCGTATAGCCTCATCATCGCTGGTCCAAAGCGAAGATTTTTTTTTTTCAGGTAGGCATTTAATCAAACACCTGGTGTGCTTTTAAGTAAATGGCCAGAAAATTCCCACAGTTTTCGACTGTACTTCCGTGGATTCCAATGCCTCGAGAAGAAGAAGGAAAATGGAAACGGCAAATCCTTTTCGTTTCGCACGTCGCTGACACAAAGAAGATAGTCCGACGAGATGGTCTTGATTTCGGGGGGTAATCTTCACGAACAGCCTTCAGTCCATCTCCAACCAAATTTCTGTGAAAAATGCTTAAAAGACACTAACTGTGCTAAGCACCACATTTCACCTGTAAGTCCCACACTATGAAGCTCACTTTAGATTGCTCGCTAGTGTCTTATAACATTATTTTTTCTCTTTTAGGTTTTTTAGTAACTTATTTTATAGTTATTTAGAAATTAAGGGTGTGTTTGGCTATCTAAAAAACTCAAAAAAAAATAATTTGAATTTGAATTTTATTTAAGTTTATGTTTTTTAAAGTTTGAATTCGAGATTCTAATTTTATTTAAGTTTATGTTATTTTAAGTTTGAATTTGAGTTTGAACTCGAGTTTGAGACTAAAACTCGAGTTTAAGAGCCCGTTTGGTTAGAGGATTCATTATCTGATTCGAATCATGGTTCATTGTTTGCTACAGTATTTTCTCTCACAAAAAATACACGTAAATCGAAAATAGTTCTAATCTCATGGTTCTAATCCATGAACCAAACGGGATCTAAGTGTCCCCTTCAACTCGAGTTCAGAAACTCAAACTCAAATTAATGAATAATATTTTTTCTATTCTTAAAAATACTATAACTTTTTCGTTTTAATCTTGATTGAGATGATTTTTTTTATGCGTTGACAACGAAAAGACGAATAAAACCTCACCCATATACCCCATTAAAAGTTTTCATCACCATTTAGTTTTTTTTAAAATACTATCTAAATACAAATTTAAGTTTTGACTCATTCAAACACAAACTCAAAAAAAGATTCTTATCTCAAATCATAACTCAAATGTACACAACTAAACACAAACTCAAGTTACAACTTCAACTCAAGTTATAACTCAAATTCAACTCAAAAACTACACTCAAATCACACTCCAAAAGAATAGGCTCTAAGTATCACTATCTAATAGAAACTGGACCTCACCTATAAATCTTACACTGTGAGACTCACTTTCGATTAGATGATGATGCTTACCGGTGTCTATAATATTGCTCTTTCTCTTTTAGATTATTTACTTTTTATAACTTATTTTATAGTTATTTAGAAAGTATATCATTCCTTTTAATCTCATCAAAATATAACTTTAAATTACAATTTTCTTACAAGTCATACCTTTAAATTATAATTTATATATAAACTTATACCTTTTCGGTATTATAGTTTGTGAAATATTATTTTTATAAGTGAGTTTGTATATAAAGATGGCAATAAGACGAGGCGGCGGCGGGGATTTCCCGTCCCCATCCTTGCCTATATCCCTGTTTAAAAAGAGAGGGGTTGATATTGGGAATTTCTCGTTAGTAGAGTAGAATCTTCCTCATACCCGTCTTAATCTCAATCTAATAAAATAACGCATTTCAAAAAATAAGTTGAATTCACTATAAATTAAAATCAAAGTTAATGGTTGCACAAAACAAACCAAATTCTAAACATATAGAAACTAAATCTTAGTATTAAAACATCAAGAGGAATAATTATGTTTTGAAAGTTAATATTATACATATTTATTTACATGAAAATATACAGTTATATGAATGTATATCGGGGCTGTAACAGGACGAGGAGTACTTCCTCTATTCTCGCCCCGTTACAATTCGGAAATAAGTTTTTGTCCCCATTTTTGCCTCCATTCCTAATTATTATTCTGCATTCTCACTCTTTTCGAGGCGGGGCTTGCGGGGTTCATTCTTATAGGAAAACATGTCATCTTTATTTGTATATAACGCCCATCTCTATTTACAAATAATTACATAATCACCTTTTAAGAATAATTTGGTCATTTAACAAGTCAACTCAAGTTTTGAGCGAGAGGAAGTATAGATTTATGTATTAATTTGAATTCAAAGATATGCTTTTGATAAAATTAAAAGTGGATGATATACTTTTTAAATAAATATAAAATACATGGTATGAGAATATAAATAATCCTTCTTTTTTAGAGAATGAGATAAAAATCTCTAAAAGTGTTTGAGTTTAAATTTTTATCTTTTGAAGTCTTTACACTTAATTGATATTTTTTTTAGTCAAATAACTATATTAGATAAAAAGATAATAAATAAGAGTAACGAGTAAAAATGTGAAAACATACATTCTAAGGGCCCATTTAGCTCATACGTTTAAATTAATGATTCTTAATTTTAACATTTAAATTTTAAATTTTTTATAAGAAAAATATATAATTAAAATTATGAGTTTAAACTCGTGAAATAAATACGTCTTAAAATTAAGTTAAACAATTTTCTCGATTTTTTTTATATGCTTCCTTCGTATGTAAAGTTCTCGGTTTTTTTTTCCCTAGAGAATCGCTTTCTACTTTCGGTTTCGAGTTTTTTTTTTTGTTTTGTTCTTTTTTTTTTCTTATCCGTGACTTATACCCCTCCCTTGTAATTATTGATGTCGTTTGTCAGTATTCTACTGTTGTCTTGTCATTTTATGCTTTTGTTGCCGTTTTGAAGTCCCAGTATTGCTTGTTTTGTAGTCCCAGTATTGCTTGTTGTTTGCGTCCTAATCCCTATAATCGTCTTTCTAGTTTATTGGTTATATTTGTATATATTTTATAGTATTTTCAACTTTATTTATCGTTTTCCAGTTTTGATGTCGTCACATACAATATGTGAGCTACTATAGCAAGTTGTGATTAAAAAAAAAAATCAGCAAATTTACAAAATAAATAAATAAATAAGCAAATTTGCATGCCAATTGCTAACGATACCCACTCCATAAATAGGCGGTGTCGTAACTTCATTGGGGTATCACGTGTATCAGTTGTAAAAGAGACTAATTTAAGAGAAGTGAACGAGAAGACAAAAATATAAAGAAAAGAAAAGAGAGAGAGAGAGAGAAATGGAGAGAAATCTATATGTAAAAAAATGATTTTTTTTTTTAATGAAAAGAATAAAATTAACGCTTACTCTTTATCTGCATATTTTGTTAGTTAATTCCTTTCTTCTTAATATTTTGCCTACCATCTACAACGTTTCTAGTTTTGTGCCGTTTAGTTACACCAGTAAAACTCGTTTTGCATCAGTATGCAGTGCAGTCCCCTTAAGAGTAATGGAGCGTTCTCTATTGTTAGAAACTTTATCAATATTGTATACAGCGAGTCACCGAGGCTGTGAGAGGAAACCATCGTTTGAAACTCAAATAAGATCTCCAACATTGTTATTACTTATTATATCCATCCGAGATCTCGAGGAGCCAACGACAATTTTCTATTAACCACTCCCAGTCCCAAGTCACAACAATATTCAATACAAATGAGGATTTACTGTAATTTTAATTATGGTTCGTGGATAATAATTTTTAATTTTTTATAGTATTTTTTTCTCATAAAAAAATTTAAATTTTAAAAATTAATAATAAATCATGATTCTAAATTCACAAAATAAACGTCTTATTTATTATTGCAACAACTCTGTACTTCATTTATTATTGCAACAACTTTGTAGTTCTTTAATTTATTGACCGAACAAGGCACATGAACTTGAATGTTTAACATTACATATCACAAAAAATCCTTTAACAAAAACTATATTTATGACCAACTGCAACTACTTCGAAACTTGAGTCTGAAAAGTCAATGTTAATGGAGCCCGGAAGTTCAACCCACCATAAACTCGTTCTTATATAATATATTTATATAATTATGATATAGAATATAATAATATTATTAAAATAGTAACTGAAATAATTAAAATAATAATTATATTATATTATATTATAATATATATATGAAAATGTTTTTAGTCCGGCAGCAATTATTTATCTGACTTATCTGGTAAGTGATTTTCAGTCGTTGATGAAAATGGACGGGTGGGATTCATCACATCCTTACAGAAGCATTCACATGTGCTAGCTTCCGTACACTGCAAGTGGCAGCTTTTATTGGCCATGTGTTGAATGAAGAGAAAAGGGAGAAGGAAGAGTGAGGTTGGTGGCCACGTGTATATGTGAGAGACAAGGGATGATGTGAGAGACAAGGGAGATGGCTGCAAGAAAAAAATATATTAAAAAAATGTGAAACCCAATTAAAAAAAAGCTCTTTTTTTGAACAAAACAAAGAGAGCCTTGATTAGCGAAAAAAAAGAGTGAGGCTTAATCGTTTATGGAGGGGGAAAGAGCTCAGTAAAAGCAGCAGCTTTTACAGTTTTACAGTAGGCGAAAAATATAAGGATCGTGTATGTAAAATTTCATTATTTTTTGACGTCGTTTTTATTTTATTTTATTTTTTAAAGATGAAAAAGAAAGAAAATCATAAAAAAATAGAATATTCATCAAAAAAAATGTGCCACTTATTGCATTAATTGCTAAAAATCATATATTAATTTTAGAATGTAAAAAATAAATAAAATTGTACATTTTTTACCCATCCCGGCCCCTGAGCTGGCCCCTGGCGCGCCCCACTACGTGAGCCGGCGGCTTTTTGACAGGTTTTACTTTTTTTGTCAATTTTTGAGGCAATTTTTTCTGGCATGCCTAGAAAAATGTAAGGATTGTGTATGCAAAATTTCATTATTTTTGACGTCGTTTTTATTTTATTTTATTTTTTAAAGACGAAAAATAAAGAAAATCATAAAAAATATAATATTCATAAAAAATAGTGCCGCTTGTTGCATTAAATAAAAATCAATATCTATTATATATAATAAATGTGATGAAGCAAGCACGTGTCAACTAATTTTTATCTCTTTATAGTACCCTTAACTATTTATATTTTTTACTTATTTGTTATCTACTATTTTCTCTTACTTAGGGCTTGAGAAAACAAAAGGGTTTAATTTGTGTTTCCATTTATGTTATTTACCTTTTGTACTTTTTATTTACGTGTTATGTACTAGTTTTGTGTTTCTATTTATGCCCTTATAAATTTTTGTATGTTTAATCTACTTGTTATCTATTGTTTTATCTTACTTAAGTCTTAAGAAAAAACGGTTTAAGTTGTGTTTCCTTCTATGTTCTTCACTTTTTGTACTTTTTACTTATTTGTTATCTACTATTTTCTCTTACTTAGAGCTTAAAAAAAGTGATTAAATTAAATAATATTTGAATTACGTTCTGAACGTGGCTTCCGAATCTACAAAACTCACCCCATCAAAATAAGCTGTGCGGTCTAAATGTTAAGAAAAATAATAGAGTATGACGATTAGTTAGAACTTATTTGTTTACATCATAAAATTATTTTTCTAATAGACAATAAATATAACAGTTAAATTCATGCAATTGCACGTGCCTACTTTTACTAGTTTCTTAAAAAAATAAAAATATTTTAAGACATTAAAATATTTAAAGGAAAATAATAAAATAAAAAGTTCATGATTTTTTTTCTAGATTTATTAGATTTTGATTAAGTAAAAGAGTACTAATGTCATTTTACATCATAAAAATCAACTTCAGAGTACCAAGAATATATTTTTAAAAATGCTGAGGTGTCATTTTAATATTATCAAGAACACAAGATACTAAAAGCATATTTCGCTATATACATTGTCGCTTACGTTCATTAACATGAAATACAACAAATCAGTCAATATACATATTTTTATGCTATGTGTTCACTTAATTGCTATAAAAAATACATATTTTGAGGATTAATATACATTGTCGTTTCTTATAACTTAACATATACATCTTTATATGTAAATATACACACCTTATATATAAATATACATGAAAATGATAGAATTGTACATCTGCCGTTTCAGTCCGGCAAACAGTAACCGCCGGATTAAAGACCTTGCCTATATATATAATTACAATATAATGTATATTTATTATTATATTTAATATAAGTGCAAACTCTTCAATAACTACCCAATTTCAATCAAGAACACTCCTTAACACTTAAAATAATTTACTAAAAGAAGAGAAAATAACACTTAAAATAATTACTTTTTTAAATAAAAAAAACACACACACAGGGGATATTTGGTTTGAGGATTTAAACAATAATTTGAATCATAGTTCATAATTCGTTATAATATTTTTTCTCATAAAAAATATATATATAAATTAAAAATAATTCTAATTCATGAATTAAACCTCTCTTAAAGAAGTTGAAAGCATTAACTATTTTTGGCTCCGTTCATTTCGTTGATTTGAGTTTAGAATTCGAGTTTTTTTACAGTAAAAAGCTCTCACAAACAATCACATCTAACTTTTTTGCTATAATAAAAAACTTTCACATAAAGTCATATCTCAACTCGAATTAAAAATTAGAATCAATGAACTAAACGGACCATTTGTTTTTAGTTTAACAAAAAGCACGTGCAAAGCACTGTTTTCTCTATGCACGTTCAGAACACTTGCGATCATGTACACGAGTGACGCGACCAATAATTGTACCACACGCTTTGCTTTTAATTTCATATTTCCCCGCTCCTCCTGTCAGTTATCTTTTGGCAACTTGCACTTAAAAGATTCCCATTCTCATCAAACCCTTTTTTGTTTTGTTTTTGTTTTTGGTTTTTTTTAGAGCTTGACATTTCAATATTACTACTATTGACTACATAGGATTTATTCTTTTAGAGTAACTCTTAAACAAAATTTAAACTCATTACCTTTATTGTTTGTAAAATTTGAATTTAAATTTAAGTTTTAATTCGAGTTTTGAACTAAAATATGAATTTAAGTTTTCTCTTTAATTTAAGTTTTTAAATTCAAATTCAAGTTAATAGATAATATTTTTTCTATTATTAAAAACGTCATAATTTTTTTATTTTAATTCTGTTTGAAATAATTTTTTTCTATGCATTCACAATGAAGAAACGAAAAAAACCCCACTCACATACCCTATTAAAATTTTTTATCACTATTGAATTTTTATTAAAATAATATCTAAATACAAATTCAAGTTTTGACCTATTCAAGTACAAACTAAAATAGATTTTTAATTCAAATTATAACTCAAATGTGCACATCCAAACACGAACTTAAATTTAAATTATAACTCAAATTTAATTCAAAATGTATACTTAAATTATTATAACTTAAAAATATAACCGAACAATCTCATAATTTTTTGCCCTTTTTTTCCCTAAAATATTGATAGTTTTTTGCCGCCCCCCCCGGAAATATCGGCCACATAGTGTTAGTAGTATACGCAATGCGAACTGCCCAAAACACTCACAAACTAAAAAAAAAAAAAAAAAAAAACCCTCACCACTACTCCAATGAAGTCAACGCTCTCCACCACCCTCCTTTTCCTCTTTCTCACCGCCATCACAGCGTCCTCCTCCTCCTCCCTCGTCCCATCCTCAGCCGTCCCCACCAAATCGGGCTATCTCCCAGTCACCCCTTCCCTAAACTCCTCCTCCATCTTCTACACCTTCTACGAGGCCCAATCCCCCACCCACCCCCTCCCCCAATCCCCCCTCCTCATCTGGCTCCAGGGCGGCCCCGGCTGCTCCTCCATGATCGCCAACTTCTTGGAGCTCGGCCCCTGGCGCGTCAATTTCAACAGACTCCCCCACGAACCCCTCGCTCTCCAGCCCAACCCCGGCTCCTGGAACCGCCTGTTCGGCCTCCTCTTCCTCGACAACCCCGTCGGCACCGGCTTCAGCGTCGCCGTCACCCCAGACGATATTCCCAAAGACCAGACCAAAGTTGCCCAACACCTTTTCACCGCGATCACGAGGTTTCTCGCTGAAAACCCGGGGTTCAAAACCCGCCCCGTTTACATTACCGGAGAAAGCTACGCCGGGAAGTACGTCCCGTCGATTGGATACTACATTTTGGAGAATCCGGGACGGGCGAGCAGGGTGAATTTGGCCGGCGTGGCGATCGGGAACGGGTTGACTGATCCGGTAACCCAAGTGGCTACCCATGCTTTGAATGCTTATTTCTCTGGTTTGATAAACGACAAGCAGAGGAGTGAATTGGAGAAGCTTCAATCTGAGGCGGTGAAATTGGTAAACTACGAGAAATGGGGCGAGGCGACGGAGGCGAGATCGGGGGTTTTGAGGCTGTTGAGTAACATGACGGGTTTGGCGACGTTGTACGACTACACGAAGCAGAAGCCGTACAAGGACGAGATGGTGGAGGAGTTATTGAGAAACGACGAGGCTAGGAGGGCGTTAGGGGTGAAGGGAGATGTCGTTTTTGAAGTTTGTAGTGACTTGGTTGGGGAAAAGCTGAACGACGACGTGATGAAGAGTGTGAAGTATAAAGTGGAGTTTTTGGTGAGGAAGCTGAGCAAGGTTTTGCTTTACCAAGGGTTTTACGACCTGCGGGATGGTGTCGTTTCGACGGAGGCCTGGGTGAACACGATGGAGTGGGAGGGGTTAAAGAGGTTTTTGGGGGCGGAGAGGAAAGTTTGGAGGGTGAATGGAGAGCTTGCGGGGTATGTGCAAAGATGGGGAAGTTTGAGTAATGTTGTCGTTTTGGGGGCTGGGCATTTGGTGCCTACAGATAAGCCTTTGAGTGCTCAAGCCATGATTGAGGATTGGGTTTTGGGTAAAGGGTTGTTTGGGGGTGAACAAAAGGAGAATTATCATTGTGTGTCAAGGAATTTCTAGGGGCCAAATGCAATTTAGAAGTGAGTTTTGTTGGTGGATTGGTTTGTAATTGTATGAGTTAGTGAATCAAATAATGGACATGCACGATTTAACATTTAGTTCATAGATTCAGAACTATTCTTGATTTATGTGTATTTTTTATGTGAAAAAATACTGTAACGAATCACGAATTATGATATAAATCACATGAATACACCAATTAAGAATCACGAATTATGATATAAATCACATGAATACACCAATTAAACGCATAAAATATAAAGTGAATAAGAGAATAGGTGATCCATGGAAAAGGTTTATGAATTTATATTAGTTACGGAATTTGTATGTACATTGACATAATATGTGTTTGGAAAAAAAAAAAAAAAGTTTTTCCTGGATCTTTGTCGATTTAACGATCCCAAAAAGTTGTTCCATACACAGTTTATATATTTCATTATGTTATGCTCATGTATTGCGGTGTTGGGTTCTATTGGGAATTCATTCTCCCAATTTATCCTAAGATGCATTAATTTGTAGTCTAAGGTCTCGCATATGTTAAATCTCTTTTAAAATATACGCTAAAAAAATGGGTCTTGGATTTTGGAGTTTCTTAAAAACCGTCTCTTGAACAAATTTTTTTTTTGAAGAGTACATAAGATTAGTGACTTCAATAAATCAAGTTCTTAAATTAAAAAAAAAAAATCTAACATTTCCACCCATTCTTTGGATGACGCAAATTTTGAATTAAAAAAAAAAACAAATTTTAAATGAAAGAGTAAAGGAAGGACAACTAATGTAACGGCGCTTGGAGGCGGATTTGTGAAGAGGAAAATTGGGAAGAATAAGAAAAAGGAATATTCGGCTTTTACAAGAGGTTTAGAGAACCTCCAAAAAGACCAAACAAAATTCCGATTCCAAAACCACCCAAGTAGCACAAAACCCGTACTATGATGCCATTTTGAGGAATTGATGTGCAGGGCTAGAATGGCAGGGCACCCTGTAGAGCACCTACAGGTTTTTCAGAGCCACTTTTTTCATATCTGCTCTCCCCTACTTGCCACAGCCCAAAAATTCCTTGTGTTCTTTTGGGCAGAGAGAAAATGCTTAACACAAAAATGCAACGCTTACCTGATTCTAATTGACCACGGCTACTTCTTTCATGCTTTTTGCTCATACGATGAAAACCCTAGTGGCTATTTATAGAGCACCCCATATGATAAGGGTTAAAATGAGAGAGATCTATTTGGGCTCAAATCTCAATCTCCTCTGGGGCTTCCTCGCTCATCAGCGGCCCAAAACTTGTGAAAAGAACAAGCCCTTCTAAATTTAATGTCTAAAGAATACGAGTTGTTTCACTTTGGTTCTTATAATTAAAAATAGAGAGAAAGAGATAAATAGATCAAGATTTAAAATGAATTAAAATTAATAGGTTAATAGTTTACATAAGTTAATAAATATGCTAAATTACTGTTTTCGTCTATAATTTGTCTGATTATGAACCATAACTTGACAAATTATTCACAATTTTTGTCTATAATTTGTTTCGCTATGAACCATAACTTGACAAGTTTATTCATAACTTATTTGGTTATGAACCATAACTTGACAAGTTATGACATATTAATTTCTATAACTAAAAATTGGCCTATATATTTTTTTAAACTTTTCATATTGGTCTGTTTTCTACTATTTTCCTTAAAAATAGTATAAAGCTGACCCTCGAGCTTATCCGACATTGTAATTTCAGTACTTCTATCAATTACACGTCAAACTTCTAACAATTTTACAAACATGTAGATCATATGATTTGTTTCTAAAAGACACTAATGTGGATGATGAAGATGCCGGTCTTACGAGCAAAGCAGGAGGAAGTATCTCTAGTTTTCTTTTGAATTTTTAAAATTTTAAAATTTCTTTGAATAAAGTCTTCGTTTTCTTTGAAAATTTCTCAGAGGTGATTGTTTTATCAAAAAAGCCAAGCGTCTCTAATAGCTCAAAGGAGTGCTCACGGAAAAGAAAATGTTTGTTCTCAAACATTTCATGATTTTTGTGATAATGATTCCATAGAACAACTGCCATATTTGTAGGCATGAGTTTAGAGCAATTAAAGATGTTGAAGCCAACCCACTGATGAAGAGAAATTACTGACTTTGAAACCTCACCAGAAATCTCAAAAAACCAAAAACAAAGTTCTTGAATATTGAAAAACCTAAACTACAACTTTTTAATACTTGCAATAATTGAATGTGTTGCAACAAGTTCATGTTCTTTTAAATTTGAACTCGAGTTTGGGACTAAAACTCGAGTTCAAGTTTCCTCTTAAACTCGAGTCCAGAAACTCGAACTCAAATTAATGAACATTATTTTTTCTATTCTTAAAAATGCTATAATTTTTTCGTTTTAATCTTGATTGAGATGATTTTTTTTTCTATGCGTTGATAACGAAAAGACAAATAAAACCCCACTCATATACCCTATTAAAATTTTTCATCACCATTGGGGTTTTATTAAAATACTATCTAAATACAAATTCAAGTTTTGACTCACTCAAACACAAACTCAAAAATATTCTTATCTCAAACTATAACTCAAATGTACACAACCAAACACAAACTCAAGTTACAATTTCAACTCAAGTTATAACTCAAATTCAACTCAAGAACTACAGTTAAGTCACACTCCAAAAGAACAACCCTCAGTCTCTTGACAAACGAGCAACAAGAAGATGAATAAGAAGTGGAAATCCAGAGCTATGACAGACCCATAATTAGCGCCAATCGGAGACGATATCGGATATTTTGGCGGAAGAATTTCTCAAGTTTTGAGATTTCTAGTCGCGGGAAAGGGTGGTTTGTGCTTGCACCTCGTCGGGGGAGGATTGCCATCGGAGGAGGGGGCGTTGTTCATGCTAGCGCTATTGGAGTAGAGGGCGAGATATAGTTTTAGACTCGAAGGAAAAGATTTGAAAGTCTTTTTTTGCCCCCTTTTGTCTAAGCAGAGCTTCTCGAAGATGGGCGATGAGGGAGTCGTGGGATTGGACCAGCGAGGCAAGGGGAGAGGTAGAGAGTGAGGATGGTAACGGTCACGAGATTCCACGTGGTGGAGCTCTGTTGGTAGGTTGGGCGACAACCACCGAAAAATGAGAAGAAACCCACCAGCGAAGTAGAAGGAGAGGAGGCAAAGATTAAGAAGTCAACGTAAAGGCCTCATTTAGTACTTAAATTCGAGTTTTTAATTTAAATTGAGATGTAATTTTATGTGAAAATTTTTAATTATAACAGAAAAATTAAATATAATTTTTTATAAAAATTTTGAATGTGAGAGCGATAAGTGTGTTGTCTCTATTTTAAGTGTGGTAATCTTAATTTTTTATTTTTATTTTTTTGACCATTTAATTAAAATTTGAGGTGTAACATTTGTACACTATCCGTAAGATAAATTGGTTCAGCTTACTGTAGACATACTCGTATTTAATATCATTAAAAAATTTAAAAGTTTTATTGATTAAAAATACAAAGATTATTTTCAGTGAGCCGTTTAATAAGACTAATATTTTAACTGTTAAATTTAATTAAAATTAAATTAAATTAAAAAACCCGTAGAATAAATAATTTTTAATAACAATTAAGGGTTCGTTTGGTTGGAGGATTCAAACCATGTGATTCGAATCATTTTCAATTTACGTGTATTTTTTGTAAGAGAAAATATTATATCAAACCACGAATCATGATTCAAATCAAAAAATGAATCCCTCTACCAAACGCTTTCTAAGAGAATGAAACTGCCCGTGAGCGTCAATTTTGTACCATTTTCAAGTATTGATACAAAATATAAATACGGAGCAAGACAAAAAAGAAAAAAGAATCCATTTTAGATTTTCGTCTCCACCTTCCGGAGCCCCAGAGGAACTAAAACGGAACGGTCGAAGTGTGCATTATTTTAGTGAAGAAGAAAAAAAACCAAAGAGACAAGCTCCAAGTTTTCAGCTTTTGAGTTCACGCTAGGCTTAGATAGCGCTTTTCTCGGAAGCTTCGAGAGCCGGTGTTTCCCCAAGCTCTCTGGAGTCGAATTCGTCGTTTGGTTGCCGAGAAAATGCTGGAAAAGGAGCGGAAAATGGACTCTCCTTCCGAAAAGGTTTGTTTGTTTTCTTTTTTCTCCCTTTAATTTCAAAATTCGAAAAAAGTCAGTAATTTGAGCCTGAATTTGCTCGCTAGTTTCATTTCGTCGCGGCTAGTTATAGTTGATTTCGTTGATTTTGTGGTGAATCTGCATTATGAAATCAATGTCTTGTGGCACAGGAGATTTTTATGAACTTTGGTGATGAATACGTACTAGGTTGATATTATTTGCTACGAGAACGAACAACATAATATTCCTAGTTTTCTTGTTATTTCTTATATGGTTGATCCTTCCTGGCTTTCTTGTTATTTCTTATATGGTTTTTGTTCGTACTAGGAGATAAATTTGATTTTCTAATTGTTTTATGGAAGAAAGGGGGGTCATCATTTATTGGGAAAATTAATACTAATAATTGTGAAATAAATTTTTTTATCTTTATGTGTTAAAATAGGATCTCAAATAAAATGTCAACAAAGCCAAACAACTAATGCACCAATTAATTAAAATAATTAACCACAAATGAAATACTAATTTTTAACGTGAAAAACCTCTCAAATTGAGAGTAAAAATCACGGGACCTTTAAGTCACTTAAATTTCTTCAACTATATTAATAATGAGATTACAAAGTTTCTTTCTAGAATCAAACTAGAGGCTCACAACAACAATATCATCAAGAAACACTATTATTAGTTCACCAACAATATGAACATCATCATCAAAGATAGATAATAACAATAACACTAAAGAAAAATTTAGGTCTCACCAAAATAAGAGTATTCAAGAGAGTACTAAAGAGAGGCTAAATGAGAAATCAAGTCCGGTAGATGAGAAGAGCTCGGAGCAAGGATTTTTCACGTCAAATTTGAGCCGAAACCGACAACGTTTTGCCACCCGATCATCTTGCACAAACACCAAAACCCTATCACTTTTCTCTTTCTCTCTCTCTCTCCTTTTCTTCCCTCATCTTTCCCTGGATCCCTCGGCTGTCCACTGCTGTCGATTCTCCTTCTTCTTTTCTTTTCTATTTTGCTGGTTTGCTGCCTACGTGAGCAACATGCCTTTCATTTTTTTTTGTTGGCATTTGGGCTTAAAGCCCATTATTTGTTCCAGCCCACAAATGGGGCGGAACCCAACAAACTCCCCCTCCGCATCATTTGGTGGGCTCAACTAAGCCGCTCTCTGCCTAGAAGCTTAAATTTTCTCCTTAGGCAAAGTCTTCGTCAGCATATTGATCCATTCTCACTGGTGTGGATCTTCTCTAAGTGTAACTACTTCTCTTCAAGCACATCACGAATTCAGTGATATCTAACATCAATATGTTTGGATCTTGAATGAAATGTTGAATTCTTGGAGAGGTGGATGACACTCTGACTGTTGTTGTAGACAATACACTTCTCTTGTTGCATGTCCAGTTCTTTAAGAAACCTCTTCATCCACAAAGCTTCCTTGCAACCTTCAGTAATTGCTATGTACTCAGCTTCTGTAGTGGATAGAGCGGCACACTTTTGTAGCTTGGACTGCCAAGAGACTGCTCTCCTTGCAAAAGTCATCAGGAATCCCGAAATAGACTTCCTGTAATCAATGTCACCTGCCATGTCTGAATCTGTGTACGCATCTAAAATAGACTCACCACTTGCAAAGCGTAAACACACCCTCGAAGTACCTCTCAGATATCTCAATATCCATTTTACTGCTGCTCAGTGTTCTTTTTCGGGATTAGAGAGAAATTGGCTAACAACTCCAACTGCATGAGCAATATCTGGCATTGTACAGACCATGGCATACATCAAACTGTCAACTGCAGACGCATATGGCACTTTGCTCATTTCTTTTTTTTCTTTCTCACTTGTAGGATATTGCTTAACTGTAAGCTTGAAGTGACCTGCAAGTGGAGAACAAACAGCTTTGGCCTTACTCATATTGAATCTTTTAAGAACCTTTTCAATGTAACTTTCTTGAGATAACCATAACTTCCTATTCTTCCTATCACGGGAGATTTTCATATCAAGTATCTGTTTCGCTGATCCCAAGTCTTTCATGGCAAAAGACTTGCTTAACTCTCTCTAGTGCTGAAACATCGGGCGGCGGGCATGCCCGGTGCCCGAAAATTTTCGGGTACGGCGGGCAGGCTCCTCTCGCCGCCCGACCATGGTTTTTTTCGGGCATGGGTAGCTCGAAAATATTAATTCCCCCGACAACCCGTTGCTGTGGAGAAGTCGTCCCCCGCCGTTCGCCAGAATTTTTTTAAATTTTCCGGCAATACCCGAAGTTGCCCGAACTACCCGAATTTTTTTGACCGTTGCTCGATTTTTGAACAAAAACGGGTCTGTTTGCTCGAACCCGACCCGAACCCGAATGTTGCCCGAAAATTTGAACCTAACGGTCGGATTTCTTACCGTTGCCCGACCTGCCCGATTTTTGCTCGAATTGCCCGAAAATATAGTAGCCGTTGGACCCGAATTTTTGGGGAAAATTTTTTTTTTTTCAACCCAAAAATTTTCCTATAAATACCCCCCTCCCCCAACCACTGTCTTGGTGCTTGTTTGAGCTTATACAAGCTCTTTCTCAACTTGCACACAAGATGCTCTTTTCCTATGACTTTGAACCCTTCTGGTTGCTCCATAAAAATTTATTCTTCTAAGTTGCCGTGAAGGAACGCAGTTTTCACATCAAGTTGCTCTACCTCTAAATTCAAGTAGGTAGCTAAACCAAGAACAACTCTGATGGATGACATCTTCACAACAGGAGAAAATATTTCTTCAAAGTCGACACCTTTCTTCTGACCGAACCCCTTCACAACTAACCTTGCCTTGTACCTTAGTTGTGAGCTATTGTTTTCAGTTTTCCACTTGTAAACCCACTTGTTCTTGAGCGCTTTCTTGCCTTTAGATAACTTCACCAAGTCATAGGTGTGGTTCTCACACAAGGATCTCATCTGTTCTTACATGGCTTTAAACCACTCTTGCTTCTTCTCTCATGTGAAACAGTTTCTAGGCAAGTTTTTGGCTCTCCCCCATTAGTAGTGTATTGACTAGGCGGACGGTGCTCTCTTATAGATCTTTTCACTTGAGACTCAACTGGTGGTGCTGGCGGTGCTTGTTCACCTGGCTCTACATCATTAACTGGAGGGCCTTCATCATTAACAGCATCACCACCATCTTCTTGGACATCTCCCCTTTGATCAATATTCTCTACAAGTGCAGAAATTGGATCCAAATTGACAGGAATTTGAGCATAGGAACAAGACTTTTCACCCTTGTTACCATCATCAATCACTTGGTCTTCAAGGAAGACAACATCTCTACTTCTGACAATTTTCTTGTTCACCGGATCCCATAATCTATACCCAAACTCGTCGTGGCCATAGCCTAAGAAAATACATGATTTCGCCTTATCATCAAGCTTGGATCTCTCATCTTTAAGAATATGAACGAATGCCTTGCAGCCAAAAACTCCTAAGTAATCATAAGAGACATCTTTCCCAGTCCAAACTCTATTTGGAACATCACCATCCAAGGCAGCTGCTGGAGAAAGATTAATCAAAATTGATTGCGGTTCTCATGGCATCCCCCCAAAAGGACTTAGGAAGCTTTGCATGAGAAATCGTGCACCTGGTTCTTTCTTCAATTGTTTTGTTCATTCTCTCCACTACACCATTAAGCTGAGGTGTCTTAGCTGGAGTATTCTCAAGCCTGATTCCATGGAGTTTGCAATAATTCTCAAACGGTCCCCTGCACTCACCACCATTATCAGCGCGAACTGATTTCAACTGCTTTCTTGTTTCTATTTCAATCTTGACATGAAATTCTTTAAAGACATCAAGGACTTGGTTTTTAGTTTTCAAAGCAGTAGCCCAAACCTTTCTTGAATGGTCATCGATGAAAGTCACAAACTAGAATGCACCTCCAAGAGTTTTAGCTTGCATAGAACAGACATCAGTATAAATCAAATCAAGAATATTTGATCTTCTAGATGGAGGGTGTGAATGAAATGCAACTCTATGTGTTTTTCCAGCTAAACAATCAACACAAGTTTTAAGAGGCATACCTTGCAAACTAGGCAGGAATTGCTTTCTAGCAAGAAGTTGTAGTCCTTTCTCACTGACGTGGCCAAGCCTCTTGTGCCATAAATTAATGCTTGCACCCTTCTAAACAACATTTATCTCTCCTCTGTGAAGCTTAGCTTGCATGACATAGAGTGTTTTCATTTTCTTTCCTCTTGCAACCATTAGAGAACCTTTGGTGAGCTTCCACTTACTTTCACCAAAATAACTAGTAAAACCCTCATCATCAAGTCTGCCTGTGGAGATCAAGTTTAGGCGAATATCTAGAACATGCCTAACATTCTTGAGTACCAACTTGCTTCCAAGATTAGTTTCCAAGCAAATATCTCCAATGCCCACAATTTTAGAGGCACCACTGTTTCTCATTTTGACATTGCCAAAATCACCGGCAGAGTAAGAAGTGAAGAAATCACCATGAAGAATAACATGAAATGAGGCGCCATAATCAATCACCCAATCACTTTCTTGGCACACGAGACTAACACAACTGTCATCACAAATGATGGTAACATCACCTTCGGCGGCTACTGTATTAGTCTCTTTCTCATCTTTATTTCCTTCACCATGTTCTCTTTTTCAAAGTATGCATTCTTTTCTCATGTGACCCATCTTGTTGCAGTGATAACACTTGCCATTTTCTTATTTTAGATTTTTCCCTGAATGTATCCTTTTTGTCATGACCCTGAGGATGTCTACTTTTACTTCTGCCACGCCTTTCTTGTTTTTCAGAAACAAATACCTCAGAAGAAGATTCACCCTTTTCCTTTCTTCTGGCTTCTTCACTCAACAAACTTTCTTTAACCATCTCCATGGTTAGCTTTCCTCTAGGAGCTGAAGTGCTTAGTGATACCACTAACGTTTCCCAACTATCAGGCAAGGAGCTAAGAAGTAACAATGCTTGCAACTCATCTTCAAGAGGCCTTTTCATTGCGGCCAATTGGTTCATCAAGCCTTGGAAATCACTAGTATGCTCAGTCATACTTTTTCCATCTTTGTACTTCAAATTTACAAGTCTTCTAATGATCGAGGCTTTATTTTTGGAGGTATTTTTCTCATACATAGCCTCTAATTTCTTCCAAAGTGCATCGGCTTTCATTTCTTCAGAAATATGATTAAAAATATTAATATCAACCATTTGCCTAATCGTAGCAGCAGCTTTCATGTGTAATGTTTCACAATCATTATCACTTATTTTTTCTGGCTTTGACTTGCCCATAACAGGCCCATACAAATCTTTAACAATAAGCAAATCTTTCATTTTGTGCTTCCAAATGAAATAATGCGATGAGGTTAATTTTATCATCCCATACGAATTTTGTTCTTCTATCTCAACACACAAGAATGAGCCTCTAGCCAACCAAAAACTCTGATACTAGTTTGTTGGGAAAACTAATACTAACAATTGCGGAATAAAACTTTCCCTCTTTGTGTGCTAAAATAGGATCTCAAACAAAATGCCAACAAAGCCAAACAACTAATGCACCAATTAATCAAAATAATCAATCACAAATGAAACACTAATTTTTAGCGTGGAAAACCTCTCAAATTGAGAGTAAAAATCACGGGACCCTTAGGCCACTTAAATTTCTTCCACTATATTAACAATGAGATTACAAAGTTTTTCTCTAGAATCAAACTAGAGGCTCACAACAATAATATCATCAAGAAACACTATTCTTGGTTCACCAACAATATGGACATCATCATCAAAGATGGATAATAACAATAACACCAAAGAAAAGCTTAGGTCTTACCAAAATAAGAGTACTCACGAGAGTACGAAAGAGAGGCTAAATGAGAAATCAAGTCCGATAGATGAGAAGAGCTCGCCACAAGGATTTTTCATGTCAAATTTGAGCCGAAACCGACAACATTTCGCCACCCGATCGTCTTGTACAAACACCAAAACCTTACCCCGTTTCTCTTTCTCTCTCTCCTTTTCTTCCCTCCTCGTTCTCTGGTTCCCTCGGCTGTCCACTGCTGTCGATTCTCCTTCTTCTTTTCTTTTCTATTTTGCTGGTTTGCTGCCCACGTGAGTAGCATACCTTTCATTTTTTTTTGTTGGCATTTGGGCTTCAAGCCCATTATTTATTCCAGCCCACAAATGGGGCGGAACCCAACATCATTACATATTGAGTAGATAATAACTGCCTTTATAATTTCGAATAACAAGTTTAATGAAGAGGACATGAGTGGCTGAACTCTAATGTCAACAATACAAATAAGAAAAGTTATTTAGCAAGCATAACCCATTAGGAGAAGATTATAAGCTTATGAAGATTCAACACCCTTTGTCTCTGGACTTCTAATTCCAAATATATTTCGCTGTTCACGATGCATTAACACTTGCATTATTGTTTATTGTTTACTTTTATCACTTTTCTAAATCTAATCTCTTGTGCTAGTTGTTTTTTCAACATTGTGATCAGTATAAATCTGTTTTGCAGGTTTGAGGCCTATGAAATCCAGGCATGTCCTTTTCATGTAGCAAGCTTGCTGCAGATGGCTCCGGCAGTCTTCGTTATGCAGTCATGTGGCATGGTATAAAGGAATGCATATATACGTTTTTGTACTTTGGTTTCTCTAGTTGTGTATTCTCATGTCAGGGCAGTTTCAAACTCTAACCGAAGTAATTAATCATGCATATTTTAGGAGGCCTCACTAAGGCTCCATTTGGTTGGAGGGATAGAGAATGTGAAAGATCAAGAGGATTATAGTAATCCTTTATGTTATTTAATAGTATAGAGGAAGAGTTGAAAGGATGGATGATAATTATTTGTCTAATTTATTATATTAACTATTTTACTATTTGTTAATAACTTTTAGAGGGTAAAATAGCATTTTTAAACTTGAATGTGATAGATTTCTTGAATCCTTAAACTAATGGAACGATTTAATTTGGTGGGCCCAAAGGGACTCTTTCCCTCCACCTCTCCCCTCCAACAAAAAAATGGATTGTTCCTCTCCCTTCACCCCTCTTCCTCCAACCAGGCACACTTTAAATGTTTCTTTAGGAGTCAATTCCACAAAATTCATACACCCCCCACCCCCACCCCACTTTTTTGCTCAACAAGAGGAAGAGAGGAAACAATTGGCTTCAGAGACTGTTAGCTTAGCACGTCCCAACATTGGCACTCTCTAAAGCTCTCATCCCACACCAAGCCCGTATTACAGGATAAATGAAATGCCACAACATTCTTAATTGTTTGCTTATTGGAGCTATCATTTATGATGCTTTATTGCAAGGAGCTTGCTTGGCCTTTGAGCTTCCAAAAATGCCATTTTTAGTAGTGAGGTTGCAGCAATGAGAATAGGTTGAATTCCCATCAGAAGACGATCATGCACTATTTTTTGTTTTTTCATCCTTAGGGAATGAGTTTGTGACACTACATTAAAAGTTTGGTTTTCAGTGTTTTAGCATGAAACGAATGAGAAGTGCAATCATTTTCGAAGCTCAGAGAGGATACTGGAGTGCTTTGGGCAGAAATATGAGGTATCATTTTGTATTCTTGTTTTTGATTGCTTATGATTAAAGTATAAAATTGACACTGTTGGTATTGACTTGCATGGTTATACTCTTGCAGGTTTAATTATTTTCTCTATTCCAAATATTCGAAGATATGTTATAGATCGAAACATAAGTTGGTGGAAAAGCTGGTGGAGGAAGTAGATGGTTATGGTTTGTCAAACTTGTGTAATCGTCCAAAGGTGCTTGACAAGGTAGATGCATGGATGCAACTATTGATTACCTTTAGTTGTTTTGCACCTGTCAATCTATCTACCATGCTTTTAGTTGACAAACACAAGCGATACACATAAGTACATACATCATTTATGTTTATACAAAATGAAAATGATGTAGGATTAAGATAGGCGAATATAGCTGAGACTGAAGAATAGAACCAAAATAGTGAAATAAAATTAAAGGAAAGGAAATAGAGAATTCTAAAGGCAGAATGAGAATTGAAGAGGAGGAAATCCGAAACTCGGTATTTATTCATCAACCACAACTAAGTTGAAATTGCAATCACTAAGTTATGTAAAGAGAAATAACAATAAAAATAAGATAAATAAATCCTAAATAATAATAGAGACAAACACAATCTTAAAATCAAAACTAAATATTAATACTTAAACACTATCTTTGTCTTGTCTAGTAAATACACATGCTGCATAAGTTTAGCAGTTTGTTGCTTTCATCCTGATAGGAGAGGTTGAGGGACTATCTTTTATATATTTTCGTTTCACTCGAGCATTTCACGAAAACTATTTCATCTGTCATAGTTCAGGTTGTTCTCTAAAGTCTAAGGCTGCATATTTGATAATTCTTCATAGCATTTCTTGACGTTTAGTCTTATATACTGCTGCTTCCTTTCCTTTTAGGTATCAGTCATGATGGGTTATGATGGCCTCCCTGATTTGATTGAAAATGGTACGGATTGTTTTGATGTTTCCTTAGTGCGTAATAGGTTTCCATCCATCATAGTGGGTAGTTCCCCTCCAGTGAGCCTCTATGATGGAACCTGGGATCTCTGTGATAGGAGGAGCCTTTTAGCAGTGAAAGGTTATGAAGATTTCCTTTCTAATTCTACCAGCAAAGAGCAGATGCTGAATAGTCTCAATGAAACATGCGATTCTCCGGATTCAACTTTTTCAAGTGTAGAAACTTCCTCATCAAGGGAATGCTATTCTTATACGACACCCTTAGTTTCTGAACCCATTACTTTGGTTCCTGAGGAAAATTTAAATCAACCAGTCACTTTGGAGGGATCTTATGCACTGGAATCACAAGTGAATGAGACACCCATTGAATTGTTTCTTGACAAAGCTATTAGTTGCATACAAGGACTTAGAAAGAAGCATTGTCATCAGCTGGAAGATGCTGGTTTTCATACGGTCTGTTTTATGAGAAATTTTGTGAAAAACGAAAGGCTTATGTTTAGCAATATTTGAAAGAAGGCTTGACTTTATGTTGGTCATTCTTATTTTCATATAGTTTCGGAAAGTGCTACACCATTTTCCTCGGACGTACGCTGATTTACGGAATGCTCAGATGGGAATTGAAGATGGACAATACTTGATTTTCATCGGGAAAATCGTATCTTCAAGGTAATTCCATTCTTTTTTTGGTTTGGCAATTTTCTCGAATCTTATGTACAACTGATATTTGTGCATAAAATTTTAAAAGTTCTTTCATTGTTTTTTCTAATCTTGATAAGCATCCGGGTGTTTTTGTCCTCATTTTTTTAAATATTATACAAGTCATTTTAGTATTTTATAGGCTCTGAGGCGGTATTATGTGACATTCAAAACATTCGATTTTTTATATGTGATATGAGTTTATCTGTTGGTGTACAAATTTTGTATGTAATGCTGATAAGTTTATCTCTTTCTCCTGCAGAGGAGTCAGAGCTAATTCTTCGTTTTCATTTCTTGAGGTTGTCGTGAGTTGCGACATTGCAAATTGTGACTCAAATTCTGAGAATAGAGTTGACAGTACAGATATTGAAGGAAACAAGACAATTTATTTGCATTTGAAGAAATTTTTCCGTGGTACTCGTTTTACTTTTAAGCCTTTTCTCGAAAGTCTTCAGAAAAAGCATAAAGAGGGAGATATTGTATGCGTTAGTGGTAAGGTGTGTTTCGAGGGCTTCTCCAGAGTTGGATGGCTTTTTTATGCATTATTTTTTTCATTATATTCCAATTGATATTTTGTTTTAGCACTCTTTTTTGGATCAATAGGAAATTATGAGCATAACATATATTGGATATTGACTCCATATAATACTTTTTCCCTGGACTTAATTCTAACTCAATGCTAAAGTGAAATGATTGCATAATCTAATTTTATTGTTAGGTATGAAATATGGACAAATAATTAATGGCTCATATTTAATTGAGAGTTTCCTCTAGAACAATTAACCTTTTGACATAGCACGCCTTTCAAACAATTTTTTATGTTCCTCTGCCTCTCTATTGAATTTAACTCTGATAAAACATTTTGATGTCATTGCATTTTATCAACTTTGAAAGAAAGTTATTGGCCCACATATGGCATTACTGATTAATTACTTAGGGTGGTTGAGTGAAAGTCTGCTAGGAAGAGAGAGAAGCTCTCTCCTCTCTGTAGAATTCTGAAGGATGAGTTCACAATCTCATTACTGATTTTATTCATGAAATAGCTGAGTACTTAAGATGTCTCAAAAGGATTTGAATCGTTTTCTCCATGACTTTAGAATAGGTCCAAAGCTGTACAAAATCTTGCTAAGTATAGATGGTGGCTCGGTGAGAATAGAGTCCAATAGGAGGCCGAGTTTCTTCATTTCCTGCGGGTTAGGTGCAGTGATCTAGATTTGTCACACAATGGGGTTCTTGTGCAAGAATAACAGGATCGATCGTTTCAAAAAGAAGTTCAACGGGGCACATTATGTTTTGTTGATTGAGGTGCTTACGAAGGCAAGGGGAGAATACATGAAGATCACAAGAATCAATAGAGTAGGCGTTAGAATGGTGAAAGTAGAGAGATAAGCTCTCCCTTCGCTCTACATGCAGCATACCGAGTATTGCATTATCTCAAAGGGACACCAGGCATAGGTATTTTGTTCAAAAGGAATGGAGGAGTAGTGCTTGAAGCGTATACAGATGCAGACTATGCTGGATCCATAGTAGACATGTGGTCAACATCCGGTTATTGCACTTTTATTGGTGGAAACCTTGTGACGTGGAGGAGCAAGAAACATAATGTTGTAGCTCGTTCTAGTGCAGAGGCCGAATTCCGAGCAATGGCTCAGGGTGTGTGTGAGTTGCTATGGTTGAAGATTATTTTAGAAGACTTGAAGATTAAGTGAGATGGCCCAATGAGATTCTACTGTGACAACAAATCTGCAATTAGCATAGCTCACAACCTAGTACAGCATGATTGAACAAAGCACATCGAAATCGACAGACAATTCATCAAAGAGAAGCTAGACAATGGTTTGATTTGTACACCTTATGTATCTACACAGGGTCAACTCGCTGATGTACTCACCAAAGGACTAAGTAGCTCAGTGTTTTAGAATCTTGTGTCCAAGCTGGGAATGGTGAACACTTATTCACCAGCTTGAGGAGGAGTGTGGAAAACGTAATCTTATTGATTTTGTAAATAAGATATATTAGGAAAGTTTGAATTTTATATTTTGTATCCCTAGGATTAGGGTGATCAGTTAGTTTCCTGATATCCCATGAATAATGGGATAAGGTGTAATCTAGGAGGTTCTATCGTTGTGTATTAAACCCTAAGAGGGCCGGCTGTATAGAATTTAATTTTTTGATGAATAAGAAATATTTTTCTCCTATTTTCCACACCTAGCACAACTAAAATCCTGAATGAAGCCGAGCCCTCCATTGTTCCAGAATCAGAAAAGGAAATCAACACTGAGACACTAAAGTCACCACCTCTAAAAACATTCTCCAGGGGGAAATGGTTCGTCGCCAATTACCAAGCTCCAATTTTCAACTCCGAGTCAGGTAATGAAAACACTCAACCAACTCTTGTCCGTTTATCTGAGTCCCCCAATGCTAATATTTCTATAGCTTTGAGAAAAGGGGTCCGGAATTGCACCCGACACCCCATGACTCATTTTGTCTCCTTGCAGAATCTTTTTCCTCATTATAGGACATTTCTCACAAGTTTTTTATTTGATAAAGGCCCAACATCAGTTAATAAAGCTCTTGCCTCGAAGCACTAGAGAGTTGCTATGTAGGATGAAATGAGAGCTTTGGAAAAGAATTGAACTTGGGAATTAGTAGAAGCGCCAAAAGACAATAAGATTGTTGGGTGTAAGTGGATTTTCAGCCTTACAACTATGATGGATCGTTGGATTGATATAAAGCAAGATTGGTTGCAAAAGGCTACTCTAAGACTTATGGAATCGACTATCTTTAAGCATTTGTTCCTGTGGCCAAGACCAACACCATTAGAATTCTTCTATCACAAGTAGCAATGAAAGACTGGCCCCTACATCAACTCGATGTGAAGAATGCCTTTACATGGAGGTTTGAAAGAAGTGTATATGGAGGTTCCCACAGGATATCAAGAGGACGTCAAAGGCAATAAAGTATGTGAATTGAAGAAATCCCTTTATGGTTTGAAAAAATCACCGCGAGCATGGTTTGGAAGATTCTCCCAAGCTATGCTGAAACGAGACTACTTTCAAAGTCAAGGAGATCACACTCTATTCATAAAAAGGTCTAGGAAAGGGAAAACTCAACAACGCTAGTTCTATATGTTGACGATATTGTCGTGACAGGTGATGACCACGAGGAGATAGCTGGGCTAAAGACCTATCTTGCCAAGGAATTTGAAATCAAGGATTAGGGAGCTTGCGGTTTTCCTTAGGAATTGAAGTGGCTCGTTCAAGACACGGGGTCTACATTTCACAACAAAAATACACTCAAGATCTGCTGCAAGAAGTTGGAATGTCTGGATGCAAGCTAAGTGAAACTCCATTCGAGGTGAATCACCGCCTTGGGGAAATTGCAGGATAAGAACTAGTTGACAAAGGAGAGTATCAAAGGATGGTGGGAAAACTCATCTACTTATCTCACCAAGACCGAATATCGCCTATGCTATGAGTGGTGAGTCAGTTTATGCACGCTTCCCTAAAATCACATTTAGAAGCCGTGCATTGGATCCTAAGATACCTAAAAGGATCTCCTTGAAAAGGTCTTCTATCTAAGAAGAATGAGGAACTCAAGGTAGAAGCTTATACTAATGCTGATATGATTGGGCAGGATCCAAGTTGGACCGACGATCAACTTCAGGATATCCTTCTCATCATCAACTCGCAGATGTTCTCACAAAGGGCTTCTTGGCTTGATGTTTCAACCGTTGATAAGCAAAGCTAGGAATGCAAAATATCTTCGCACGTGCTTGAGGGGAAGTATTGGAAGTGCTTACCACCTAATCGTGCCTCCTAATTAAGTTTTCTACCATTGCATATTTATGTTGTTAGGTGGTAGTTTAGAGTTGGCTTACCTTTGTATATGAAAGGATGCAACTCTGATTAGTTCAATACAACAAAAATAATCAAAGTTATTTCATCTTTAGATTATGTTAAAGTATAAAACTATTGTTGGCCCACCTCCTAACAGCTTAAGCTTTTGGGATGGATTGGTAAACTAACATGGTATCAGAGCGGGAGGTCCTGAGTTCAAACCCCCGTAATTGCACTCTTTATCCCCATTTAAATTGTCATCATGTGTTGGGTCTTTAATATATCTCGGGCTTAAATATTCACGTGTTGGGCTTTCTAATTAATTTACCTACATGATTGCCCATTGTGCAGCTCACACGTGAGGGGGAGTGTTAAAGTATAAAACTATTGTTGGCCCACCTCCTAACAGCTTAAGCTTTTGGGATGGATTGGTAAACTAACAGATTACATACTTTGGCAGCTCAACTATGGTTGTGGTTTGTGGTTTTAGTTAATGTTGAAATATAGAAATTAACTCCCTTTTTGGTATCCTTAGAAATAGGCTCATTTACGGTTTTTTTAATAAACTTGTTAGACTTGCTACTTATTAGTTTCTTTAAAAAAATGTTATCATTTGTTTGTGACCATTTTATCTTTTATTTTGTTGTGGACATTTCAACTGACACTTGCGCTTGAATATTCATCTTGAATCAAGGTGAAGACTATGCATATGAAAAATCATTATGAAATAAGAGAATATAATATTGATGTGCTTGAAGATGGAAAGGAATCATCTTTTCATGCGGAAGGGAGGCCATATCCTATTTACCCTTCAAAAGGAGGCCTAAAGCCAACCTTTTTGAGAGACATTATTCCAAGGTTTGTTCCTTTTGTACCTTCTCTTTAACGTCATAGAAAGGCCACTCCCCTTGGCAACATCTGCACTTGGGAATCATATACATTTTCTCTTGCTATAAGATATTTGGAGATAAGTCTATCTTTTTTCTCCCTCTTTATCTTTCCTCTTCGATTGGCGTCAGACAATTACAGGACAAACAACCAGCTTTCCGTTATCTTATTTTGTACTCTTACAAGTGCATATACTAAAATGGCCATTCCTGCATAAATTATGCTGATTTCTGTCCTAGAATAGTAGAATTAAGATGTAAAATGGAAGTTGTTGGTACGTTTTTTTATATGTAGCTTTAGTTCTTCTTTATGCAGCTAAGTATTACATGCCTTAGCACTGCTGCTCTTGAAGGTTTTCACTATGAAGCAATGTTGGATGACCCTTACTGTCTACTTTTTCATATAACACGGTAATAATAGTAACGGAGTAAGTGAAAGAAGGTTAAGTGAATGCACAAGTTAGTTCATCTGATAACTGAACTTTGCTGTATTGTTTTGAAATCCCATTTGGTTGGTCCTCTATAGCTATATGGTTAAAACTTTACTGGTGGGCTGCTCTGCTTTGGGAGATGCCGTTGGATGACCCCCTTTTTTATGATTTATGTACTTGTTGCATTGTTTTAATCTACTTAGAAAAGGAGATTAGTTAGTAATTTCTTTGGTAGCTCCCGCTTAAAGTGATACTCAAAATTTATTGTTATTGGTATTTTTTTGTAACAGTGCTTTGCAAGCTTTGCCCTTAAATATTGATCCTATTCCTGAAAAGGTCATTCAAGAATTTGGACTGGCAAATCTTTATGATGTAAGTATATATGTTTATTTTATGGTTTTTAGCTTTCTCCGTCACATGTACTTGGTTATCTGTGGGTAAATTTATGGCCACTTATTATTTTTAGACCCCTTCATAAGTCTGTATTTCCAGTTATGAAGTGGATTGAATGCATAGTCACACGCTTCTTTTTTATCCCAGCCGCAATAGTTATCTTTTTCAGCTCACAATTAATGCAGGGACATTGTTTCGCACATAATGTCAGTGCCTTTTTTCCCCCGAGTAATTTAACTAAAATTCAGTGGGTATCTGATTAGCAGCTTGCATTGAACAATGAAATCTATGTGGGAGTACGTGCAGCCCTTCCTTATGGTCTGTCTATATGCATCCATTGGAACTTTTTGTCTTATCCTCATCCTAGAGCTTTATGCTTTTGTCAACATGTAGGCATATACTGGGATTCACCAGCCGAAGAGTATAAATGAGGCTGATTTGGCTCGTAAAAGGCTAATATTTGACGAGTTCTTCTACTTGCAGGTGATATAAGTTCCCCTGTCAATGCTGTTTGGTATTATAAAATAAAAAATGGGCGAACCATTAATCTCAAACATTTAACATTTTTGACAGTTTAATTTTGAGAAATATTTTCTGGTTTTTGTACATTGAGAGAGCCAGGAATTTTTGTCAGTGGAGGCTATGTACAAAATCAAGTTGAGTTATTGGAAATGGGGGCTATAAGGTTAATTTTAATGGGGGCTATTTTATACCATTATAATTTAATACATATTTTTATATATAAGATTTTTAAAAATGAAAATTTTGAGTGGGGACTTGAGCCCCCGCTGGGCATGCACCGCCTCCGTGTGTGTTCTTGTATGAATTCCTCAATGAAATTATTAATAGTGGTGGTATGCTTTCTTATTACACTATGCTAAAATATTGTCTTGAACTAAACCAGTTATCATTCTCTGTCAGCTTGGACGCTTGTTCCAAATGCTTGAAGGTCTTGGTACTCAAATTGAAAAGGATGGATTGCTGGACAAGTATAGAAAGCCGGAAAGCAATGCTTCTTATATGCGAGAATGGTCTAGTATCACCAAGAAGATTGTGAAGACTCTTCCATATTCCCTTACATCTAGTCAGCTAAAAGCTGTTTCTGAGATTATTTGGGATCTCAAACAACCGGTTCCCATGAATCGGCTCTTGCAGGTATGAATTTTAAATTAACGTGTTGTTTTGTACACAGTGTATGTATGTACCTTCAGAATTTCATTGCTCTTCTATTCAAAGATTATTTCATGTGGTTCCCTGATGTGTTCGTATTGTTCAAAAGTTCACCTCCAATATAAGTTTATGATTAAGATTATCTCACCATTTTTAGGATTAACAATGATAGGTAATTTTGGGGCATTTTTTGCTGCTAACTTTATGCTAGGCGTGGGATTTCTTAAATTGTCCCAATCGGAAGGGTATAGGTTTTGTGAAAGTAACCACATTTCAGAAGTTAAAAACAGTAACGTTTATATAAAGAGACTGCAATGCCTTATCGTTTTGGCATCTTTGCTGTATTCCTATTTCTTCACCTTTATCACCATTGTTGTTGCTCTAACTGTAGATCATGTTTTCGAAATAAGGAAGCTAGACAATGGGGATGAATGTCCATTTCCTAATCTCGTGCATTAGCAAAGTTTGCCGGACAATGGGGGTGAATGTCCATTTCCTAATCTCGTGCATTAACAAAGTTTGCCGATTGTTAGGACTTAATGATGGGCTTCTGTTGCATAAGATTAGGACTTCCTGGGTCTAATTCCCTAGAATGTATGGCTGACTACACCTGTTCCACTAAGGTTTCTTGGATGACATCTCTCTTTAAGAGATTTGATGATGATGACGGAAAACACTGCATCTATCTTTTATTCCCTTCAAAAAATAATGATTACATCTATAAAAAAATTCTGAGTAAATCAGCATCCTTTATTTTAGGAACTACCTACCTGGAGAATCTATTAAGATAACAAAACTGATTACAACTAATTTAAATATTAAAATTAAAATCTAAACAACTTCCAAACTCCCCCTCAAGCTGGCCTAAACAAGTTGAACATTCCTAGCTTGTCTACTTGCTTCTTGAACATCGGTTTGGCAAGGTGTTTTGTACTGTAAGACTCGAGAGGGCATGCGATTTATCAGGTAAGACACGGTGAGAATGGCGTCCCCCTAAAAATACTTAGGAGCATTGGATGTGAACAACAGTGACTGAGCTACTTTTAAGAGATGGCGATTTTTTCTTTCAGAGACTCCATTTTGTTGGGGTGTGCTGACACAAGAACTTTGATGAACAATTCCATTTTCTATAAGAAAATCTCCAAGGATGGAATTGAAGTATTCCTTTCCATTGTCAGTACAAAAAATTTGTATATTTGTATTATACTAAGTTTTAACCATGGAATGGAAATTTTTGAAAACTTGTTCAGTTTCAATTTTTTTTTTTTTTTTTTTAAGATTTACCCAACAAACACGAGTATGATCATCAACGAACGTAAAAACCATATTTTATTAGTAAGACTTCGAACACGAGATGGACCCCAAATGTCACTAAATTAGTGCAAAGGTTTTGATGCCCTATATGGCTGGGAGTGAAAAAAAAACACGTTTATGTTTTGCTAACTGGCAAACTTCACATTGAAACAACGAATTAACATTATGAAACAACGAAGGAAACAAATGTTTTAGATACTCAAAACATGGGTGCCTAGCCTACAATGCTACAGCATAATTTCTTGTTTTCTTGAAAGGGAAACGTTGCAAATTACAGTTTGAACTTGTCCAATAACAGAGATGTCCTTCTCAAAGTAATATATCCCTTTGAATTCTTTGGCACCGCCAATCGTCCTACCCCGAACTCCGCTCCTGAAACACACAGATTGAAGGTGAGAAATTCACTACAGTCAATATCCTTAGTAATCTTACTAATGGAGAGAAGATTGCATGATAAAATCAACACATGGAGAACTGATCTAAGAGTTAAATATTTGAGGACTAATCTCAATGGTACCAATTCCTGCAACTACCGAGGGTGATCCGCCGGCTATCTTTACTTTATGATTGCCTGAACTAGGAGTGTAAGAGGAAAAAAAATCTCATAGCCCGTCATGTGATCAATTGCTCCAGAGTCAATTATCCATGGTTCTCCTTTTCCTGTCAAACCACTGAGAGCAGTTAAGGATATACCTTTTTAGGCCATGAGTGATGTGCTCGAGGACTGCGAATTCAGCAGTTTATAAAGCTGTTCCATTTGCTCCTTTGTCAGAGAGAGGTTGGTCGTATTTCTTTCTGGCTCGGCATGTTCTGTTGATGTATGGAAACCTTTCTGTTGACGATTTCTCGTCCTATTTGGCGCCTAGTTTGCTGGTTTCCCATGTAACTTCCAGCAATTCTCCTTCGTTTGGTGAGGTTTTTGGCAATGGTCACACCTGAGCTGCCCTTTCTTGTTGTTGCGAGCATTACCTCGATTGTCCATTCCTCGCGCTACTAAGGCTGAATTTTCAGTCTCTGACGTGGTCGTAGAGCCACCAAGCATTACCCGTTTTCGGGCCTCTTCTCTTCTAACTTCAGCAAATATTTCTTCAATAGACAACGTAGGCTTCATCCTAAGCAGTTGTCCTCTTACTTCATCCAGGTCCTTGTTTAGATAGGCTAGGAAGTCGAAGACATTTCTTTCTAGCATCCGTTTATACAACACTGCATCATCTGGACAGTTCCATTCAAAGCTGTTAAACAAATGTAACTACTACCATAGCTTCATTAAAGCATTAAAATATTGGGTGACGTCTTGATCGCCCTGTCTGAAATTCTGAGCTTTGTTTCTGAGTTCGAACATTTGAGAAGAATTTCTTAGATCGAAATATGCTCGGTTCACAACACATCCCAAATTGCCTTCGCCGTCGGATAGAGCAGATAATTGTTGCTGATTCTGTCTTCCATGGAGTGAATCAACCAAGTCATCACCATCGAGTTCTGAGCATCCCAAATTTGATACAGGGGATCATCATCATTTGGTTTCTTGGTAGTTCCATCTAAAAAACCAAATTTCCCTTTCCCACGAATCACCATCTAGACTGAACGAGACCACTGAAGGAATTTTTTTCCATTTAATCCGTGGAAAGTGATTTGTAGAGAAGTATTATCTGAGACTGCAGTGGAAGCAATTGTAGCGGTTGACTTAGAGGTATTCGAAGCTACCTCCGAGCCATTGCCGCTGCTTGCTCCAGTCATGGCCGTTTTTGCCATAGTTTCCCTCAACTAAATGCCAGCTCTGATACCGTAAATGCTAACACAAGGAAGGAAATAAACAGAAAACACTGTATCTATCTTTTATTCCCTTACTTCAAAAAATAATGATTACATCTAAATATATAGATTCTGAGTAAATCAACATCCTTTATTTTAGGAACTACCTACCTAGAGAATCTATTAAGATTACAAAACTGATTACAACTAATTTAAATTTAAAAATTAAATCCTAAACAATGACAATAATAATGACTATAATAATAATAATAATTATTGTTGTTATTGTTATTATTATTTAATTATAAAAATTCTCCCTGAATTATATCCATTGTAACACTTTGCCTCCTCATCTTTAAAACGTAACTTCCATTCCCCCTGAACAATGAAATGTTAACAAAAAAAAAAAATCCCTCCGTTAGGTTTTTTATTGAATTGACATTAAATTTGTTCTTCTGAGGGTGTTTTGGTAATTTTATCGTTTAAATTTTAATTTGAATTTAAACTAAGTTAAATGTTTAAAAAAACCTCATAATTTTTTTTTTTATTCTACCAAAAAAAAAGATTCATAAAATTCTTAACTTACATTCAATCAATAATGGATATATCGTAATTAAAAATTTAAATAAAAATTAGTTTTAAATTCAAACTAAGTTTTAAACCATTGAGCTATTAAAATACCATAAAATAACAAATTAAATGTCAATTTCTGTTAAAAAACCTAACGGAGGGATTTTTTTTGTTAATATCTCATTGTTCAAGGGGAACGAATGTTACATTTCAAAGATTGAGGAGCAAAATGTTACAAGGGGTAAAGTTCAGAGGGAGTTTTTGTAATTAATCTTTGTGACGTGGTCTTTCCCACATTTTTCCCCTAAAAACACCCTCTTTACTCTGCAACTTAATATTCTGTCACTTAGTTTGTTACCTCTCAATCATGAGAATAGGGCAAATAATATGCCGTGATGCTTGTTTCTAGGGTGATGTTGGATGTGGGAAGACTATAGTGGCTTTTTTGGCATGCATGGAAGTTATTGGCTCTGGATATCAGGTTAGTTATTGAGTTCGATATTTTGTTTGTTTTATCATTTGTCTTATTTGAATGGTTTGTTTTCTTATGGCTAATGCCCAAGTGTGGTCCACTTTCCTTTGCTAATCTGTAGGCAGCTTTCATGGTTCCAACTGAGTTGCTTGCAATCCAGCATTATGATCACTTAAATAATTTGCTTGAAAGCATGGAGGAAGTTGAGTGCAAACCTTCTATTGCCTTACTAACAGGTTCAACCCCGTTAAAACAATCACGAATGATACGTAAGGTACCTGTGATAAATGGGTAATTGTATTTCTGTATCTTTAGAATTGATAAATTGGATAAATGAATATTTCATATATCTCAAAGGGGTGTTTATACAGAGTATTCAAAACCTATTTTAGGAAAATTCAACTATACAATCAATCTGACAACTAATACCCTGAATCTAATACATTAATTCCTATCTAAATAAGGGAATATAATTATACAAAATTATAACGTTGTACACGCCAATTCTCCCCCTCAACTTGGTGCATAAATATCGCACATGCTCAACTTGGATAGTGCTGTATAGAATGGACCACTAGGAACGGCATGAGTCATCATATCAACTAGTTGATCTGCACTCTTTATGTAAGGAACCTTTATCCTGCCAGAGTCTAGGTTATCTTGGATGTAGTTCCTGTCAAGCTTAATGTGCTTAGTCCTATTATGTTGTACCGGATTATTTGCGATCTCAATAGATGTGTTATCACAGAAGAGCGCCTAGGTTTCTCGGAACCAAAACCGAGTTCAATTAGGAGAATCCTTAGACAGGTAAGCTCCGTAATTGCATGATGAAGAGCGCGGTATTCAGCTTCCGCACTAGACAATGACGCCACATTTTGTTTCTTGCTCCAAGTCACTAGGTTCCCCCCAACAAATGATACATATCTTGGCGTAGACTTCCTATCCAATCTGGATCTAGCAAAGTCTGAATTTGTGTAACCGACAATGTCAAGATGTCCGTGTCTGGAGAACATTATACCTTTGCCTGGAGAGGACTTGAGATAAGCCAAGATACGATTCATTGCACTCATGTGTCGGTCACTCAGATAGTGAATGAATTGACTTACAACACTGACTGCATATGATAAGTCAAGTCTAGTGTGAGTTAGATAGATAAACTTCCCCACCAGTCTTTGATATCTCTCTTTGTTCGTTGGGATCTGATCAGGATAGACAGTTAAGCCATGATTCACCTCAATGGGAGTATCCATAGATTTACAAGCTGAGTTCCCAGTTTCAACCAAGAGATCTAATATATACTTCCTTTGGGAGAGAGAGTCCATGCTTGGACCGAGACACTTCAATGCCCAAGAAGTATTTTAGAGATCCCAAGTCCTTCGTTTCAAATTCCTTAGACAAATAGCTCTGAAGCTTCTCTATCTCATTGGAGTTGCTACCCGTAACAATCATGTCATCAACATAAACAATAAGTAGAGTAATATCATTACCATCTCTTTTATAAAACAAAGTGTGATCCGCCAAAGCTTGCTTGAAACCATACTCCTTCATTGAGTAGCTTAATCTGCCAAACCATGCTCTTGGCGACTGTTTCAACCCATACAGGGCCTTCTTTAGCTTGCACAGCTTACCACCTTTTGGTGTAAACCCCGGAGGAGGATCCATAACACCTTTTCCAAAAGATTGCTCTTCACATCAAACTGCCTTAATGGCCAGTTTAGATTAACTCCAGGATATAGTATAACTCTAATAGTATTCATTTTGGCCATAGGAGCAAAGGTCTCTTGATAGTCGATTCCGTAGGTCTGGGTGTAACCCTTGGCAACCAATCTAGCCTTGTATCTATCAATTGTCCCATCTGACTTATATTTTACCGAAAAAAACCCGCTTATACCCTACTGTCTTCTTCCCTCGAGGTAACTCAACCATCTCCTAAGTAGAGTTCTTCTGGAGGGCCTTCATCTCATCTACCATAGCATATTTCCACTTAGGATCTTCAAGGGCTTACTGAAAATGACTAGGAATAGACACATAAGACAACTGAGGGGCAAATGCCAGGTGAGTTTTAGGCAAACGATGATAAGAGACAAAGTCAGAGATAGGGTAAACAACATTAGAAGATGATTTTGAGAAACCTAACCTATAAGGATCTTTATGTTCACGAAGAGGATATCTCAGAGATAGGGTAAACAACATTAGATGATGATTTTGAGAAACCTAACCTATAAGGTTCTTTATGTTCATGAAGAGGATATCTCCTAACTTCTTGCGGATTCAAGGCAACAATTTCAGAATTGGGATCATTTTTTGAAGTTTTAGGAGAAGAGACACATACCTCAGGATTAATCTTAGAAGAGTCATCCGATGGCATGGTAGTTTCATTTGAAGGGGTATTGGAGTTTGGAGGGGCATGGTAGTAGCATCCTTATTCTTCTTTGTGTATCCTTTTTGAAATAGCCGAGCTGGCCTTTCACCTCTTTCACTCCTTTCCTCAAATTCAGATTTAGCACCAACGGATTTTCCATGTTCAACATTTTCAGGTTTAGATTCAACATTAACAGGTGTTTCACCCCTTCCTGCCGAATCCTCTCCTTTACTCGAAGTCTCCTTCCCCTTGCTCGAAATCCAAAACCTTATCTCTTCTAACCACAAGCGTTCCTCTTCCTTACTATTTATCTCCTGAAAAGGAACTAAAGATGCATCCCCAGAAAAATAAGACTGTTGTTCAGAATTGAACATCCATGGATACATAATATTTTCCTGTAGGAGGATGAAAACATTTGTAGCCCTTTTGAGAACTAGAGTAACCAAGGAAGACACATTTAAGAGCTTGAGGGTCAAGCGTATCCCTATGATGAGAATGCACAGGAACATAACAAACACAACCAAAAACCTTAGGACATAGTGTGAAATTTTGACAACATCCTCAAAGGAGTTTGATAATCAATGATACAAGAAGGCATTCGGTTTATAAGAAAGATAGCGGTCATGACAGCCTCGGCCCAAAAACGTTTGGGAACACGCATAGTAAAGCATAAAGCCCTAGCTACCTCAAGGATATGCCGGTTCTTACGCTCTGCTACACCATTCTGCTAAGGCGTGTAGGTGCACGTTGTCTGATGAAGGATGCCATGTTCATTAAACAAATCAGCAAGAGATGATTCACAAACTCGTGACCGTTGTTAAAATGAAAAACTTGAACCGGAGTATCAAATTGTGTGGCAGTCATTTTTGAAATTGAGGAATAACATGTATAACATCATTCTTAGATTTCAACAGATATACCCAACTGACCCTAGTACAATCATCAATAAAAGACACAATATTTATGTCCCGAAGCAGAGTAGAGAAAGGACCCCAAACATCAGTATAAACACATGTGAACAGAACTAGACTATTATTGAAACTTATTTTAAAAGGTACACGGTGACTTTTAGCATAAATGCATTGTTCGCACCTCAAACTGAAAACAGAAACATTATGAAACAATTGAGGAAATAAATGTTCTAAATAAGAAAAAGATGGGTGACCCAAAAGACAATGCCATAAAAGAATCTTCTCTCTATCAGACGTCCCTCTTGCTACTTGAAAACCATGTCCATGCTCAGATTTTAAGTCCCTTGTCCCCTCCAAAGAGTAAAGACTCCCCTTTCCTTACCAATGCCAATCGTCATCTTTGTAAGATTGTCTTGAAACACAATGAGTTGAATGAAAGGTTACCGAACAATTAAGATGTTTGGTGATTTTGTTGATAGAAAGGAGACTATTAGAGAGATTAGGTGCAAGTAGAAGACATGGAGAATGATGGTGAGAGTTGGACATTCCCTGACCCTGTGATTGGCATAGGAGTCTTATTAGCAACCTGGACAGACGTAACAGGTGAAGGCATTAGAGAGTCAGGCAAAGAAGAATTACTAGTCATGTGATCAGTGGCTCCTGAATCAATAACCCAAGTGTCAGTGGCAGTAGAAATAAAGGCCAAACTAGAATTACCTCCCTCAGAAGACACCCGAGTTACATGAGAAGCAGAAGATGGAGAGATATCTGTGAGAGCAACCTGAGCAGATTTCGTATTTTTCCTTTCAGCTTGCTTGAGTTTGTACCACTCCGGATAGCCATGCTTCTTCCAGCAAACATCTTCAGTATGCCTGGTGCTGTTACAGTGAGTGCAAAAACGAGAAGCGGAGTTGGAAAAAGGAACAGGGTTTGCTGGCCGAGAGTTGTTCATTTGGACAACTAGGGTTGAAGCCTCAGTGTGATCTTCCGTGCCCATGGTGAGTTGTCTCTACTCTTCACGACGGGCCATCAAATAGGTTTCTTCCAGACTTCGTATAGGAGAGGTAGCCAAAACAGGACTACTAACTTGATCTAAATTGTGATCAATACCTGCAAGAAACATATAGACTCGATCCTCAGAAATACGCTTCCTCTATTTCTCAATATCTGTTGAACACGTCATATCATTGGGCCCTACGATAATCAAGGTCCATAAATATTGAGTTCATTGTAGTATTCTGCAACATGCCGACCATCTTGACGCAAATGAAAGGACTTCTTCATCAATTCATAGACTTGAGAAGAATCAGAGACGTCAAGATAGCTCCTCTTGACTGCTTCCCAAACGTCCTTAGCCGTTCCACATTGCACAAAATGGGGCATTAGTTTGTCAGTCATGGAATTTATTAGCCAAGACTTCACAAGAGCATCTTCAGCCTCCCATTCATCATAGCTTGGATCACTCTTTGCAGGTGCTGCTTCCTCCCTATAATATAGCCTCCAAAATTTGGGACCAAACACGATAATTAAACCATCAAGGTTAATATGGATTGGAGAAGGAGTCTCGTGAATGGTCACAATGGAAGGCTTTTGGCTTTGAGGAATTTCTGAGTCAAGCTTTGTAGACATGGTGGCTAGGGTTCATAAGATGGCGTAGCTAGGGATTAGGCAGAAAGAAAGAAAAGACAGCAGCGGAATTTTTCAAATTGATAAATTGGCTTAATGAATATTTCAAATATCTCAAAGGGGTATTTATACTGAGTATTCATAACTTATTCTAGGAAAATTCAACTATACAATCAATCTAACAACTATGCTCTATCAATCTGACAACTAATACCCCGATTCTAAGACATTAATTCCTATCTAAATAAGGGAATATAATTATACATAATTATACATAATTATACAGGTGTACACGCCAACTTTTAGATTACACGATCTCTCTTTATATACAAATCTCCTCTGGAGATGAAAAAGGAAAAATAACTACTGATACAAAAAAGATTCCTATAAATCAGAAAACTAATTACAATCCATCTAATCCCGTGATCCTAGGAATACAACTAATTCCATGATCCTAGGAATACAGCTAATTACTGAATTTTCTACAGCTAATGAAGGAGAAATTCATGTTATGTTTTCCAACACTCTCCCTCAAGCTAGTGAATATGCATCTTGCATTCCCAGCTTAGACATAATTCCTTTGAATGCCACACTGTTCAGCCCCTTTGTAAGTACATAAGTAAGTTGACCTGTGGTCGAGACGTAACGAGTACAAATAAGTCCACTATCCAGCTTCTCTTTTATAAAGTGCATGTCTACTTCAATATGCTTTGTTATGTCTACTTCAATATGCTTTGTTCTATCATGTTGAATAGGATTATGGGCGATATTAATGGCAGACTTGTTGTCACAAAACAATTTTATTGGTCCTTCCCATTTGATCCCAAGGTCTTCTAAGATTATCTTGATCCATAGTAATTCACATATTCCCAAAGTCATTGCTCTGAATTTTGCTTTTACACTAGATCTGCCCACTACATTTTGCTTCTTACTTCTCCACGTCACAAGGTTTCCTCCAAGAAAAGTGCAATAGCCTGGAGTAGATCTTCTATCAACAAGTAAGCATGCATAATCTGCATTAGTGTAAACTTCAAGTGCTAATCCACCATTTTTTTTGAACAAAATGCCTTTACCAGGATTCCCTTTTAGCTATTGTAGCACCCTATAGACTACCTATAAGTACTCTTTGGGATTTTGCATAAACTGACTTACCACACTTACAACATATGCAATGTCTGGCCTAGTATGAGCCAGATATATCGGCTTTCCTACCAGTCTTTGATACATTTCCTTGTCTACACTGGTTCTTCATTTCCTTCGCCAGCTTATGATTTGGATCAATTGGTGTGGATGCTGGCTTACATGCTAACTTTCTTGTCTCCCTTAAAAGGTCCGCAACATATTTCTGCTGTGAAATAAGGATGCCTTCACTGGAATGACCTACTTCGATTCCCAGGAAGTACTTTAGTCTTCCAAGTTCTTTTATCTCAAACTCCTTGGTTAGACATTTTTTAAGGCTTCCTTTTCATCGTTCCTTGTCATAAGTATATCATCAACATATACCAAAAGAGCTGTCACTCTACCTGAGTCTGAGTACTTGATAAAGAGTGTGTGATCTACCTGACTCTTGTCTATATCCAATGTCTAGCATTACTTTGGAAAATCTACCAAACCAGGCTCTAGGAGATTCTTTGAGACCATACAGTGCTTTCTTCAACCTACAAACTTTATTGCTTCCCATATTCCCTTTGGATCCTGGAGGAATTTCCATGTATATCTCCTCTTCTAAGTTGCCATGAAGGAAAACGTTTTTTACATCAAATTGGTCCAAATGCTAGTTGAAATTGGCGGCCAATGATAACAAAATTCTGATTGTGTTCATCTTAGCCACTGGAGCAAATGTCTCCTGATAGTCAACACCATAAGTTTGTGTGTACCCCTTGACCACAAGTCTGGCCTTGAATCTTTCTCAAGAGCCATCTGGCTTGTACTTCACTGTAAACACCCACTTGCATCCCATAGCTTTCTTTCCTGGTGGTAAATCAACGACTTCTCATGTTTTGTTCTTCTCTAGTGCCTGCATTTCTTCTCTCTTAGCACTATTCCATTTCTCATCAGATAATGCCTCAAATATAGTATTAGGAATATGAATCGTATTTAAATCGACTAGGAAGTTCCTATGAGATTGTGAAAATTTATCAAATGACACAAACTTCGCTAGAGGATATAGAGGGTGTTTAGTGCATTCCCTTGTGCCTTTTCTTACAACAATAGGAAGATGATGATCATGTGCTAATTGAGAAGGAATAGTTTCTGGAACTGCACTTACCTCATTTCCAAGAGTGGGTTGTGAGTCTTGGACTTGCTCTGGAGCAGGATCCGGGTCTATACGCCTTGAATAAACTGGTCAAATTTGAATACGTCATTGAGTGCTTTCTTCTCTGTCACAGGTCTTATAGGTGAAGGAATTGTCTTTGTTTGGGATGGTTTAGCTGACACAAAAGGTGAAAGAGTTAGCTCTGCTTGGGATGGTTCGGCTAACACAAAAGGTGAAAGAGTTGGCTCTACTTGGGATTGTTTGGCTGATATAGGACATGAAGATGGAGGAGGAGGTACATTGTCAGAAACAGTTGCATTAGGTGTGGGTGATGTTGGAAAGGATAGGTCGAGAAAAAACAAGTCTGTGTCCTTATCTTCCATAGATGGCAATGACTTCACCTAAAGATAATGTTGAGTGAAATATGATTTTTGTTCTTCAAAAGTAACATCAACAGTTACAAAAAATTTCCTGGTGGATGGATGATAACACTTGTACCCCTTCTAAGTTGAAGAATAGCCCACAAAAACACACTTAATAGCTCTTGGATCTAATTTCCCCCTGTAGTGACTATGACATGAACAAAAGTAGTGCATCCAAAAATTCTAGGAGTGAGGTTATTAATGGTTACGAGATCAAGGTAGAATTTAGAGAGAGTTTCCATTGGTGTTTTAAACCCCAAAAACCTTGAAGGCAATTGGTTGATTATGTATTCGGCTGTGAGAACGGCTTCCCCCAAATAGTTCTTTGGAACATTTTGATGAAAAAGAAAGGCTCGAGTGGCAGCTAATAGACGACCATTCTTTCGCTTTGCAACTCCATTCTGTTGTGGGGTGTTAATGCATGAGGATTCATGAATGATGCCTTTCCTTTTGAAAGTATGGGGACATGATATGGTTGAAATAATCCCTTGCATTATCTGATCTAAATCTTTTTGTTTTAACCCCAAACTGATTTTGAATCATGTTATGAAAATTTGGAAGTACAAAGTTGACATCAGATTTAGATTTTAGAAGAAAGATCCAAAAAACTCGTGTGCAATCGTCGATAAATGAAACAAACCAACGTGAGCCAGACAGATCGTCGATAAATGAAACAAACGAATGTGAGCCAAACAGATTTGGAACTGTGGAAGGTCCTCATATATCACTATGAATCAAATAAAATGGAGAGGAACTTTTTTTTATCTTTGATTGGAAAGGGTACTCGTTTATGTTTTGCAAATTCACAAACGTCACAATGAAAATGTTCATTCCCTAACCTTTAAATAAAGCTGGAAACATGGTCTTTAGGATGCCAAATGATGGATGTCCTAATCTAAAATTATGAAGCCAAATAGTATCTTTATTGGATGATGATAAAAAGGATAGAGAAAACTCGCATGATGTCTTAACAATATTCGATTTGCCTGACTCCTCCAGATAGTATATACTGTCTCTCTCCTTAGGAAGTCCAATCCTCTTCCCGGAATCTTGGTCCTGAAGTAGACAATAGGAAGGATAAAAAAGTGCATTGCAGTTCATATCATGAGTGAGTTCCTGTATGGATATTAAATTGGTGGATAATTTGGGAACATGAAGCACATTTTTTAGGATAAGAGATGGAGTTATATGGATATCCCCTAGGCCAGCTACGGTGGTGAGGGACCATCTGCAACAGCTATTTTCCTACTACTTGGACAAGGAGTATAAGTGTTGAAATTTAATGAAGAGTGAGTCATATGATCAGTGGCTCCTGAGTCAATAATCCATCGATTCTTAATGCATTCATCCGAGACATTTGATCCTTGAGAAATGGGGAACTTACCTGAGAGTGCAAAAGAGCATGCATCAGACTCCCTACTTAGTGGTTTGCCATTTAACTTCCAGCACTTTTCTCTTGTGTGCCTCGGTTTTTGGCAGTAAGTACACCAGAGGGATTTTTGCAGTACTTTTGACTTTTTTTTTTATAATTATATAACAAAAAAGGGAAAGCCCTACAGCAAATATGTATGCCAACTCGAACCAAAAAAAATCACGACTAACATAGATGAAGAGCGGAGATCCGTGGCCGCAAAAGGACTGCAACGGCGGCGGTCAAACGGACTGCGATAGCAGCGGTCGAAGTAACCAGCGACGGCGGTTGATGGCGGTACGACCAGCGACGGCTATTGGAGTGAGTCTTCTTATCTGGTGCCGACTTCTGTTGCAGCAACAGTAACCAGAAACCAGCGATGAAGATGCACGGAGATCACAAACTAATTGGTGATGAAGATGTGATGCAGAAAGGAAAAATGGTTGAATAGGTCGTAGGCGATGAAGGCTGAACCAAGGCCAAACAGAGATTGGCAATGAAGGCCCAAAAAAAAAAAAAAAAAAAATTTTTTTTTTTTTTTTTTTTTTGCAATTCCCAGATTAGCGAGCCTAAAGCTCTAATACCATGTGATAAATGTGTAATTGTATTTCTGTATCTTTAGATTACAGGTTCTCTCTTTATATACAAATCTCCTCTGGAGATGAAAAAGGAAAAATAACTACTGATACAAAAAAAGATTCCTATAAATCAGAAAACTAATTACAATCCATCTAATCCCATGATCCTAGGAATTCAGCTAATAAACAAATTTTCTACAGCTAATGAAGAAGAAATTCATGTTATGTTTTCCAACAGTACCGAAAGCCATCTTGTACTTTTGCTTTCTTACTTCTAGTGTTTCTAGTCTTACCCGTTAAAATCACGTATTTCAGGATCTTCAAACTGGAGACATATCAATGGTAATTGGAACCCACAGTTTGATAGCTGAAAGCGTGGAGTTCTCTGCACTGCGGATTGCCGTAGTGGATGAGCAACATCGTTTTGGTGTGATCCAGAGAGGAAGGTTCAACAGCAAGGTGTGCCTTTTATATGATTAGCAATTAGCATGATGATTATGGTTGCCATATGCTTGATTAGTCTTTGGCGATTGTCTTGAAAAAGAGAATCCCGTTTGCCAGTGTTATTGATCTATTGATGTGTGTGTGTGTGTGTGTGTGTGTGTGTGTGTGTTTGTGTGTATTTTTTAAGAAGTTTGCTGAAACTAACTTCAATTTGAGATATTTTAGCGACTCCCAAAATACAGAAAATTTCTATTGCATGTCTTATTTCCATGCCTGGAGATTAGACACCTTAAGTATTCCAGTGTGGATTTGGGAGATTAAGATGTGGTCGTTGCTTTTCTAATTGATTCTTTGCTTTCTCAAATTTTGTACCATCATCATGTCTGATATGATGCTAATGTTTGCTTCGTAACTTGTTCCATTTATTCGCTTTAGAATTTATTTAACAGCAATACCTTACTCTACCGATGATGTCATTCACACGATGTCAGTGCAGATGGCTGGCTTCAGCATATTGTTTATGTCGTTCAAACCCTCTTCAATACTGCAACACTATTTTGGATGCATTTGAGCTTGTGATACCAGTCAGAAGTGAAAATTTTTGATACTAGGATTAGGGAAGGAAAAAGAGATGAGCTAAATGAAAACATAATCTGGTGTACATGGCTATTCTTTGGCACCTCTAATCATTTAGATTATGAAAGTCATGATACAATCATATTTGTACAAAAAAAATGGTATAATAAAAATACCTAATAACGTCAGCAAAATGCTGGTTATCTAAATTTTACTTAAGCTCGTGTTTTTTTCTTCCCATTGATTCTGCAATGATTTATGAAGTAACTGAGTGAGGGAGCTAACCTTGCAGTTGTGCAATACTTCCATAAGTTCAAGACTTCCTTCAGAAAATTTGGATGAGTCCTCACAAACCGATAAGTTTATGGCTCCTCATGTTCTTGCGATGTCTGCCACTCCTATCCCAAGAACTCTTGCTCTGGCTTTATATGGAGATGTGTCCCTGACGCAAGTATGTAATGTTTCTATCCTGCCGCTCCATAATAGTTTTCTTATATGTTTTTCTTTGTCATGTTAAATGAAGCTCATAGAGAGTTTTTGTTTGGTCTCTGCATATTTTTAAAACGGCAAGTAGTTTTGTTGCAAAGTTATAAGAAAATTCAATGAGATTAAAGATCAGAAGTTCAAAGGAAGGCATCAATCATCTGAGTTATATCAATGTGGTTATGGATGGAATGAATGTTAGGGTTATGCTAGGACTCAATATTGTTAAGTTATTGAGCTTTTTGTAGTTCCTGTAACATCTTTTGTTCCTTTGGATAAAGCTAAATGATCTTTTAATTTCATCGGGCACAGTTCATATGCAAGTTATATGTAATAGACACATTGCTGATTTTCGGTACTAAATAACTTGTTAGCAGCTAATAGAATCACATATTCATCAAAGTTCGTGGTTTCCTTTTTTTTTACCCCCCCCGGTAATGACAGATAACTGACTTACCTCCCGGAAGAATACCAGTTGAAACACTCACCGTTGAAGGAAATGAGACTGGGTTTGAGAATGTTTACAAGGTAATTTTCTTTTTTTATTCTAACCTGCTTCTAATACTTGGATGTTTTCTGATCTTTCTTGTAATATTTGACTTTTGTGCTTTCACTTGAGGAATCACAAAAGAATACGCAGTACATAAGGAACCATTCTTATTCGACTATAGACTTAAATTCTGTTAATACTGTTAATTATGTGTAAAGCAATAAAAAAATATTAGTTGGTCCATACATAGAGCATGCATAAATAAGCAAACTTTTATTGTTGAAACTAGTGATGTGCAAGTATTTCTATAAGAGTTCATCTATATTTGGGGGTCAGCATTTTCTTTTCAAGGACAATATGTTACTTTATTTGAGTGGCAATGATTTTTCTGATTCTTTTCTTTCGCTTGGAATGTTATTTCATGAAAAGAATATTATATTCAACAGATAATGCTAGATGAATTACAAGGAGGAGGAAAAGTGTATCTTGTGTATCCAGTCATTGAACAATCTGAACAGCTGCCTCAACTTCGTGCAGCTGCTGCAGACTTTGAAGCTATATCCTGCAGGTTTCAGGACTACAGCTGCGGGTTGCTGCATGGAAAAATGAAGAGTGATGAGAAAGACGAGGCACTAAAACTCTTTAGATGTGGAGAAACTCATATACTGCTTTCCACACAAGTAATTGAGGTTGGTGTTGATGTTCCGGATGCATCACTGATGGTTGTTATGAATGCTGAGAGGTTTGGGATAGCTCAGTTACACCAACTTAGAGGACGAGTTGGGCGTGGAACTAGGAAATCCAAATGTATATTTGTAGCATCCACTGCTACAAGCCTTAACCGATTGAAGGTGCTCGAAACATCATCAGATGGTTTTTACTTGGCTAATGTGGACCTTTCCTTACGGGGACCTGGTGACTTGCTTGGTAGGAAACAATCCGGACATCTTCCAGAGTTTCCTATTGCCAGATTGGAAGTAGATGGGAATCTTTTACAACAAGCACACCTTGCTGCACTGGTAAATGTTATTCCTTTGACAACAATTTTATCAGTGACCCTTCTGAAAATTGTCAATATTTTACAATTTTGTTCATTGATCACTGTTAGTATGTTGTTAATATTTCTGCTATAAAGTTTAACAGCCCTGTTTGGAACTTGTTGGCTTGACAATATGGAATTTGGAAGATTAGGATTTGTAAATGAATCACTAAATTAATGCAAAAGATGCTTTCTGGAATCTGTGGACAAGAAACAATTTCAGAATTGCGAACAATAGAATTGCTGAGGGTAATACTTGAAGAAAATAATTGGGTTAGAAAGGAATTTAAATTTTAGGACGCAAGGAGGCAAACAATTAAATGATGATTGGTATTGCCAGGTTCCTTGAACAATACTTGTGACAACTTAAAATTTGAGAAGAAACTGATTTTCATGTATGCATCTTTCAAAGGTTTGTATTTTTTATCTTTTATTTTTCAACTATAATTGATGCTTCTACTGGACTCTCTAACATGTTTTGGTTAATCCACTTGCAGAAAATTTTAAGTGCTTCTCACGACTTGGAGAAATTCCCGCTGCTCAAAGCGGAGCTTAGCATGAGACATCCACTTTCTTTTCTAGGTGATTGAACTCATGGTAAAAGAAAGGTATTTAAACCATGCCCAAATTAACAACTCTTGCATTGATGAAACCGAATTGCCGGTTCCCTTCAATTATTACAGACTTAATGATATGTTCAAGTTAGTATAACAGACTTCCTAACACCGAATTCAATGTTTTTACGTTGCGAATTTTTCTTAATTCACAGCCTAGGTAAAACAATGCAACATTTAGGAAGACCAGGAAGCATAAAGTTCTTTCACATTTTTGTGGTTCTGATTCAGGACCAAGGGATCAACCTGTGGTCATAATGTCGTCTGTATCCATTGTAAGTCGCGTTTTTTATTGTATTGTATTCAAGTAATGGCCGTCACTTAGGAGGACAGAATTTTGTTCTATGTGCATAAATACGGCATTCATAAATGGGCTTTTTTTCCCCTGCTCTACCAGTGAAGCAAACTTGCCTGAATAAGCAAGTTATTATAAGCGTGGCCTCTGGAAAATCCAAACTCGTTTATCCTGACTCAACACCTTGTCGTTGAAGCCACGACTTGTTTGTAGATTGATTCTCGACTAATATAAGGTTTTTTTTTATTTTTTATTTTTTATTTTTTTTTTATTTTTAACATATTCTTTTGATAACATGACATCTTATCAAACTATCTCACTCAAACGTCTAAAATTAAATGCGACTAGTCCTTTGTTAAGTGTTTGACTATTTTATGGTCTTTTGCATACTCCCAACACATATTTCGTGTTCAAGGGGTAGTTTATTGAATTACTGAATTACGGGCAAATTTCATTTTGATATACTCTAAGAGGATCTAGGAGGATGTTTGGTAGAGGGATTCGTTTCCTGATTCGAATCATGATTCGTGGTTCGTTACAGTATTTTTTCTCACAAAAAATTCACGTAAATCGAAAATGATTCAAATTACATGATTTGAATCTTTCAACCAAACGTCCTTTAAGACTCTTTTTTAGGACGTGAAAAGTCATTTGTACCCTTGTACTTGATTTTTCTGTAATTTTAATATAAATTTATTAAAAATATTCAAAAATATATAAAATAGGAAAAAAAAAAAACTAAGCACTAAGAACACCAGATCTACCAAAATCAAATCTAAACAAAAATATATCTATCAAAATCAAAACTGATTTTACGTAACAAAAGCAAATAGATCTACTAAGAAGACATCAAAACCAAGCAGATAAAAAATACTAAGAACAAATTGGGGGGGTTTTTTTCACTAGAAAAACCTCAATCACTATTCGTTTGGTTGATATATTTATACCATGATTTGAATCATGGTTTGTAGTTTGTTATAGTATTTTTTTTTCACAATTTTTCTTACATTCATTTTTTGTATTCATACTTTGCTATAAAAACTTTAATTGCAACTTAAAACTTAACACGTGCATCATCGTGCCTAAAAAAAGAACACCACACGCAATAGTATATTTACGATTCTTTGGTATACCCCATTTAGCTGCGGAAAGCAACAAAAAAGCCCCAAAAATCAACGCATTTCTAAGGGCAAAATTGGAAAAGGGTGAAAAGAGCTTGATTGTATAAATAAATATTTTTCTTTTCCAACCTTTAATTTATGTTATTTGCCTCGCTCATCCTTTATCTATTGTGATTGTTATTGGGGTATTCTTGATAAATATTATTTAAAAGTATATGAATCAAAATTTTCTCTTTATTTTTATATCATAATTTTTTTAGTTAAATAATTATATTAATAAAAGAGTATTTATCAAGAATAAAATATAAAAATTTAAACTCGTGTACTTTTAAAAGTAAATTCTCTATTTTTTCTTATTATATATTTATTGTCATTTCAATCGTTGAACCAGACGGACTTTTAAGTAGGGTTGGTAACTCGTGTTTACGTGTTGTGTTTGGACCAACACGATTGTAACACGACACGATTATAGTAAACACGAATACAATATAATTAATAAACATGTCAAAAATTCAAACACAAACACGAAACGCTAATAACACAATTAACACGACACAACACGCAAACACGATTATTAAACGGGCCGTGACAGGTCGACACGAAAAAAACACGTTTATGCCCCAACTGGCAAAAATAGTAGAATTTTATATTATATTTAAAACTAATATTAATTGACTACTTAATATCACTTATAGTTAAAATTTAGCGAGCATATAATAAGAAAAACATAAAATTATATATATATATATGATACTCCTTCCTTTTTGCAAGCAGATAAATCAAAAGAAATGCTAATAGAAATTCAAACAGACCATTCAAATAACTTACCGGAAGGAAGTTAGCATAGCCGGAAACGAGAGAAGAGATGCTGATATGAGATTAGAGGCAAAGGAGAATAGAGAAAAGTGAGTGAGAAATTGAGAATTAGGGCTGGCAAAAGGTAGGGGAGAAAAGTGAGCGGCTAGGGTTAGGACTTAGGAGAAAGTAAGTAAAAAACTGAGAATTAGCAAAATTAGGGCCGGCTATTTAAGTTTCAGACAATTTTTTAATTTTTTATAAATTTTTTATTTTTGTATATGAGTTATAAACGGACGGGCCGTGCCATGTCGTGTCGTGTTGGTTAGTTAACGGCCCCTATAACTAAACGGGTTAAGTGTATTAAACGGGCTGGTACGATCCCAGCCCATTTATTTTTTGGGATGTTTGTTTCATGTATCAGTCTCTGGTTCTGAATCACGGTTCATGATTTTGTACATTATTTTCTCTCACAAAAAATTTAAATTTCAAAAATCAAAATCATGAATCATGATTCTGAATTCATGAACCAAACGTTGTGTTATTCGTGCCAGTCCATTAATGATTTAATTAATAATCGTGCGACTCAAACTCATTTATCTCGTATCATTTTCGTATTCGCATGTATCGTGTCTGAAATTTATTTCGTATCATTTTCGTATTCGTATATATCGTGTCTGAAATTACCGACCCTACTTTTAAGGCCGTTTGAGAGGTACACTCAAATTCAAATTCTTTTTAAGAGCTTGTGAGTTTGATTATATGAACCCAACACTTCCTTAATTTCAGAGAGGTTGATTTGTTTAAGAATGAGGTTTTGCTCTCATGGAGAACCAACAGACTAGGATTTGGTCGTTGTCCTTCTGTATCAATGGCTGCCTTATATGCTTTGCATCTCTCTGATCGTAAGCAGATCCCATGATTTCCTTTCCTCTCTCTATCCGAAAACGGAAAAGAAAAAAAAATATCTCTCTCAATTTATGACCTCATTCATTTTATCAATTTAAATTTTATTATAATAAAAAATTTTCGTAATATCTAATTTTTTTATTATAATAAAAAATTTTCACATAAAATTATATTTTAACTCAAATTAAAAATTCAAATTAATTAAATAGTAAGGCGGTGATGCTATTTTCAGGCTGTAAAACTCAGGCATTGTGTCGGGGAAAGAAGATCCGAGATACCGGAGGGTCGACCCGGATGAACCGCTGGAAAATAACTCTTATGTCCCTTTCCACGTGGTGGCCGGTGGTCGGTGCCAGCCATGGTGGCGGTGGTCTCGACTCTCTCTCGCTTTTTCTGAGGAACGGTGAATGTGAGCCTTTGATTCTCTCTCTACACTCTGCTCTTTATGATCTCTAATAATATAGAGCATTAATTTCTAAATGCACTCTTTAAAAGATTAGGGTATAAATATTCTCATTTTGTCTGAGAAATATAAATCTGAGGCTTTTTTTGTGGTGACCCTTCCTTCTATTGACTATTGAGTGTGATTTTCTTCATATTTCTTTTTTTCTTTTGAGATGTTATCTGGTTGTGCATGTGCTGATTGAGGGCTCTGAATGTGAATGTAATTTGAGGAAATTAATTCTATTGGCGACCAGAGGAAAATTTTCGGCAAACCTTTGAGAAAAATTTTTGTTATATTTTTTGTAGCCATGATAAATTCATAATTTTCCTATTTTACGTGTCGTTGAAAATGCGTCACTTGTTCACTCAAAAAAAAAAAAATGCGTCACTTGTAGGAGAGTGAAAAAATGGGGTAACTGGGTACTTCTACAACTTCACAGCAGAAAGGCAAAACTGCTAAATTATAAATTACGGACCCTTTCCAAAGAATGTTTTAGTATCATTGTGAAAAAGAAAGTCCACTTGTACAGAAGGAGTAATGCTAGGATTTCTCTCTTAGTTTAAGAATGAGGTTTTACTCTCATGGAGGACCAGCAAATTAAGGTTTGGTCGTTCTGTGATTAATGGCTGCTTGTTTCTCTATCATCGTAGCAGAACCGATGATTTACTGCTTTCTTTTTTAAGAATTACAATGAGATCCCTGTGTTTTGCTGATGTTTTCTGTCTCTTTATATATTGGTGTATATATATGTATATTTATATATGTGGCGAAGTCCTAAGTCCCAAACCTTAAAATCAGGAAGTGATGATATTTTCAGACATAAAATCAGACAGTGGGAGTGGGAGGATACGGTTGCCTAGCGGGTTGACCTGGTTTGTGTTGCCGGAAAATGGCTTGAATTAGAATCGGTACCATTCTGAGTCTGTTTGTTTCGCAGGTTTGAATTTTTGTTATAGTGTTTCTCTTCAAATTTATGAACGAAACGGGGCCTTTTTAAGTCTAGTTATTTACTCTTAGCAGAAAGAGGTAGATAGCATTTTTAGAAAAATAAAGCTCTAAGGCCCTGTTAGTGTCACGGGCTCAAGTTGAGAACATGAGTTGAATAGTGAATTTGTGTGAGAAAAAAAATATTGAATTTGAATTTTTATGAGAATACTGTAGCAAAAGGCTTGAGTTGAGTTGTGATTCGAATTGTTAAGTTGTAAAATCCTTTGTTATAGTGTTTCTCTTCAAACCTATGAACCAAATGGGGCCTTTTTAAGTCTAGTTATTTACTCTTAGCAAAAAAAGGTTAGCATTTTTCAAAAAAATAAAGCTCTAAGGCCCTGTTCGTGTCGCGGGCTCAAGTTGAGAATATGAGTTGAATAGTGAATTTGTGTAAGAAAACATTGTAGTAAAAAAAATTTTGAATTTGAATTTTTGTGAGAACACTATAGCTAAATGCTTGAGTTGAGTTGTGATTCGAATTGTGAAACGAACGAAGCCTTAAATCACCCTGGAAGAATGACGGTTTTGCCCTTCTCCGTGCGGCGGGCAATAGTCGATCGTAGCCATCGGTAGCTTCATGGCCTCTCTCCCTCTTCATCTGAGAAAAGGCGAAACTTAAGAGATGTTTGGTTGGAGGATTCAAACTATGATTTGAATCATGGTTCATGGTTCGCTACAGTGTTTTCTCTCACAAAAAATACACGTAAATCGAAAATGATTTTAATCACATGATTTTAATCCATGAACCAAACGTGTCCGCCTCCTATACATATATATTGTTTTCTTTTAGAGATAATTTTGAAGAAATTTCTTTTTCTTTTTATCTTTTCCCCTTTTTGTTTGATTTTAAGGATTTTTTTTTTCTAATATATAATATAGGCAGGACTTATGACCATGGTCAAGGCTCCCAATGCCCACTCAAGTAAATTCTTGGAGCTAATACTAGGTAATAATCCTCTTTAGGTGCATGAATTTGTAAAA